AGAGACAGAGACAGGGACTGAGACTGAGACACAGAGACAGAAGGACAGAGACAGAGATGGAGAGAGACAGAGAGACATATGGAGAGAGTGAAGGCTCCCTGAAGCACTTCCAAAAGCAGTCCCTGTTGCAGCCTTGCAGGACCTGGGAAGCAGCTCAGCCTACAGCAGTAAGGATTTCTCTTGCTGTACAGCAGTGGCACAGAGGACCACATGGCATGGTCCTAACAGTGGTCAGTGTACGAATAGCCGGACCACTTTAAGAATCCCAGTTCAGGACCCACAAGATAGCTCAGGGAACTAAGCGCCTGCTTAGGCAAGCGGAGGGGCTAGGGTTCGATCCCCGACACCACCTACAGCGCCGGCCCACCCCTTGGATGCACTAGCCGGCCACTGAGCCCAAGCATGATAACCGCATTGCTGGGGGGGCTGAAAACAGGAGGATCACTGCAAATCTGAGCTGCATAGTAAGACCCTACAAGTACATTTTAAAAAAAGAATCCATGGGGAAGCTCCTCAGAATGAGAGTAAGATTCAGGACCTCAGTGCGTTAGACAGGTGGCCTGCCTCCCCATCTCAACTATTCTGTGGTCCCCGTGGCTAGGACATCCACCTGCCTAGGGCCGAGGGTATGGAGTGGAGTGGGGATGGGAGGGTGTGGGCAGATGAAAAGCGGACACAGAGAGGGCCAGACGGCCTTGAGAATGATGCCCAACCTGGTGTGTGCGTGCTAGGAGCCTGGGTGACAGGGAAGAGTGAGGCATATGTGGGGAGGTGGAACCAGATGGAGCCGGTGGGGGAGGCTGGACGGAGCAGAGAGGAGGGCGGGAGGCAGCACGGATAGGGGCCGGGCCAGAGGGGCTGCGCGCTCCTCCCTCTGTCTCCAGGGCTGAGCCCTGGGTGCTGCCCGCCCCTGTTCGCTACGGAGGCCTCGCACCGCCCAGCCACGCCCCGACTTCCTCCTGCAAATTCGGGGCCGCTGATCATCCTCCCTTTAGGCTGGACCCCCGGCGCGGCACCTCGGTCCCCGTTCCGACCGAGGCCTGCGGCGGTAAGGCCTGCGGTGGGACCCCAACGGGAGGCTGGGAGCAAAGGGCGTCCCGGAGGAGGACAGAGCTGCTGTCCCGCTGGTCCCTCTGGTCGGGGTCCCTGCCGGGCTGCTGGACCGCGTGGCTGGGGTGTTGGTGGGGCGCTGGGCGGGGGAGAAAAGGGATCTTCCTGCCATCTTCTGTTTGGGCCTGCTGAGGCGGGGCTGCACGGCGTCTCCAATGCGCATCTTCCACACCGCCTAGAGACCTGACCCCGGCCCCTCTCCCAGTGTGCGCTGGCCCCGCCAGGAAAGGAAAGGATTCCCCCAGGGTCCAAGATGCCAAACCTGATCTGGGTATTTGGGGGTTTTGGTCCCAACAAAGCGTTCTGTAAACAATGCCCACCATCCCCCAGTGTTGTCAGCCTTCCAGACTACTGTGTAGAGCCCTAGATGTGAAGCCCTCCCCTCAGACCTAAGCACCCTCAACCATCTTCCCTTAGTACCTCCCATTTCACGCCAGAGGCCATCAGGTGTCCCTCAGGCCCAATTCACCAAGTACCCTCCTCCCCCACCTCATTCTTGGCAAACAGGCTGTCCCCCAGAATTCAGGGGGCTCCCTGATCCCCTGGAGGTTGAACTGCCAGGTCCCGACAAAAGCTGAGGCTCAATCTGCCCTCAGGACTCCATCTTCTAGTGCCTTGGCTACCAGGCCTTCATATCCCTCTCCCTGTTCCCTGCCATGCCCCTGTCCCCAAGCCCTGAGAGCCCCCTTCTTACCAAAGCTGAAGTCCCCTCCACCCTCTTTCAACAGGCTTTGCCCATGAAGATGAACTGGACAGCTGCAACATGCTGGGCTTTGCTGCTGACAGTGGCCTTCCTCTGTGACAGCAGCTCGGCCAAGGGCGGGCGTGGAGGGGCCCGGGGCAGCGCCCGTGGAGGGCTGCGTGGTGGTGCTCGTGGGGCCTCAAGGGTGCGGGTGAGGCCCGCACCTCGCTACAGTGCTGCAGGCTCGTCTTTGCGTGTGGCAGCCGCAGGGGCAGCGGCAGGAGCAGCAGCAGGAGCGGCCACAGGTCTGGTGGCAAGCTCTGGCTGGAGAAGGTCCACAGGGCCTGGTGAACAAGGCCTGGAGGATGACGAGGGCGGGCTGTCTGATGGCAATGGGACCAGCAGGGGCGTCTACAGCTACTGGACCTGGACTTCGGGTGCTGGGCCCTCACAGGGCATGCCCCTCTGCTTGCTAATAGGCAGCACCCTTGGCACCCTGGAGCTGCAGTGGCCATAGGCCTGGCTTGGCTAGGGGTCAGACCCAGCCCCTAGCCTGCACCATCCCTGCAGGCCCCTCAGGTCCACCCCTGAGGCTGCTAGCCTGAATGCCCCCTCTTTGTTGCTCATTGCCCATGAGTCTTAAGGCTACCTGGGTGATTGTCCAGGGGACAGTAGCTGCAGCCTCCCCTACCTGTGGACACAGTCCACCCTCCTGCCCCAGCTTGTCTCAACCTGTCCATCTCCCACCCCACCCGCTGACAAGGTTCCCAGCACCCAGAGACTGGCAGCCTGCTACTCTGTACTGTACAGGTTGCTCTCTACAGCACCACCTACAGGGAGGTACCAAAACCACGCATTCGGGCCACTCACGCCCACGGCCTACACTGGATATCATGATGTGGACAATGCTGACCATAGGCAGAGGCCAACTTCAGGTGGGCCTGGTTCTGCCACTGAGGATTCATGGCCAAGGGCCTCCCACAGAAGCAGCTGGGATGACCAAAGGATCTCAGGACTCGGAGAAAAGGACAGTACTCTCAGGCTTCAATGTGGGAACCGTCAGGTGCTAACCACCTGCCCAGTGCAGGTCCTGAAAACTTTCTACAGCCCAGGAATGTTGCAAGCAGGAAAGCCAGCCATCCCAGGACTGCCTAATGTGGTTCTCATGACTTCTGGACATGTCCTGTAAAGTCACCACATCCTCCTCTTCCTGGAAGACTCCCCAGGAGACCCTCAACTCTTAGGACTGGCAGGCAAGCGGAGATTCACAAGCATTCCAATCTTTTCAAATTTAGGTGCACATCTGAGGCTCAAAGGGAAAGCAACTGCCAGCTGCCACTAGAGAGCCCCCACTGTGCACAGGCCAAGCTACAACAGCCTCACCTTTCTGGTGGGCAGCAGCCATTTCCCAATGGCTAGATGTTACCTCGGAAACATCGGTGAGGGTGTGGTGCTAGTGGCAGCTGATGTTCTGCTCAACAAACTGAGGCAACAGTTCATCAGACTCATGGCCTGTGGATCCTTGAAGGCTGCCACAGGGATGGGGGCAGCCCCAGTAGGTACAGCTAGGTATCTCAGCAAGCCTGCGCTCCCTCCAAGACTACCTAGGGCAGTCTGGTACTCAAGGAAATCCTGACACCCAGAACAGCTTCAAGGGGACACTAGGCAGTCCTGAAAATGGTTTGCCATTAGCTCTCACACCCTTCAAGCATAGACTGGCCCCTCGTTTCTCCAGGGATCAGCAACCAAGTGCTTATGAACCCAGCTCAGGGGCTGCTGGTTCTGCCAAGTTCTCTAGCTCTGATGATACAACCAACTACCCAGGCTATAGACTTTTTCCAGAATTTGGTGCCCCTCAATGCTCTTTTGAGACTCACCTGCAGCTGGACTGCCCTGGAGCCCAACCTTGGGCCCTGGATCAAGAAACATATGCACCCAACAGAGGCACAACGCCGAGGCCAGCACTTCCCCAGCTGCCACATGGCCATGGGTTACCCTGGTTAGGGTGCAGGCTTTAAGGCCATTGGGAAACCCGTGGGCCAAGCTTTTAGACTGGGGGAGCAGTAAGTCCTAAGACACGGCCCCTTGCAGCCTCTTGCCCACACTGCCATTGTTCTCAGGGCAGCCCAATGCTTTCGTCCTGTCCAGACCAAGCCCAGCATGCCATGGTCTAACCTGCCTGCAGGCCTCAAAGGCAGATGAGACACCTTTTACTTTGAGTCTCAAAGACCCATCAAAGCCCGCTGGCTTCTCTCTCACCAGATGGACTACACTGGACCAGACTCTCTCGTATCACAGAACACCGGAGCCTCATCATGTTTCAGACCTCATGGAAACATCCCTCTACAATGCTTATGTTGCACAGGAACCTGACTTCTTGTGTGTGCTGCATTTGGCGCAACCACAAATCTTTCCACAGCTCATTGGCCATGAGGGCCAGCAGGAAGCAGAGTGCTGAGGGGGTAATCTCAGGGCAGGCCAGTCACACATGGAGACTTTATCAGAAGGCACCAGTGAAGGAACAGCTCCTCACAGCAAGAGGGCTAACCAAGCACTGTGGCCCCGGCAACACTCGGGCAGCTATGAGGTCAGGCTACCACTGGACAGAGGACCCTGGAGGTACTGACCAGGTCCAATCCCTCCAGCCCAACAGCACCTCTTGTCTGCTCCAATCTAACCCTCTCTCTAGAAGGCAGCTGCAACAGCAACACTGGAACCTGCAGGGGTTAACAATGACCATGATGCCAGGACAGGCCCTTGGCACCTCCTCTGGGCTCCTCTGAAGCTGAGTGCGACTGTCCAGTTGGCCAGGAGGTGCTTTCCACGCTGCAGCCTTCCGATTTACCCACAGCTGAGCTGTGACCCAGCAGCCTGCCAAGAATCAAGGACCCTAGAGCACTGGGGACACAGGCAGTCTCTGGGCTCCACTACTCCCAACCCCTTGTCTGTTTGTACACACATCTTATAGTGACTGTGAAATAAACCTGTACTGGCAGCAGGACTTTCCTCATTGCAGGGTTGTAGGGCAGCCGAGAGCCCTACTTCCTACCCTGCCCATTCCCAGCCTCCAGTGGTGAGAGGGGCTTTTAATATGTGGGCCTAAGGTACTGAGTATACAAATAAAAGGGCCAACAAGAAATGGGACTCTTCATTTTTTTGTTAATTTTGTTTGAGACAAGGTCTCTCCATGTAGTTCAGGCTGGCCTTGTTTTCACTATGAGCCCAGGCTCATAGTATAGTGAGACTCACAGCAATGGGGTACCTCATAGCAACACTCCTGCCTCAGCCTCCCAATTGCTGAGATTACAGGTATGTGCCACCACACCTGGCTATTTTAATCTTAATTTTTTGTTTTTTCTTTGGGTACTAGGAATCAAACTCAGGACCTTGTGCTTGCCAGGCATGGATTTAGGCCACTGAGCTACATTCCCAGCCCTTTTAATCTTCATTTTTAAAACCTAAGATTACAGCTAACTCCTCTGAGACAGCACTAGGTTCTCCCTGAAGGACACTGAGCAGGACCCACAACAAGGCTGGCTGTGGTGGGTGGGAGAGCACAGCATGCCTCTGGAGCAGGATCTGGGTATGAGGACCAGCATGGAACTTTTGGAAAAAGGTAGGCAGAATCCAGCTTCAAATGTTCTGGCTGCATGACGTCCGGGGGCCACACACACCCACCCCAGCAAGTTCAGGGCTCTGAGTCAGCAGGGAGACAGCCTTGCAGGATGTCACGGTCTAACATCACGGGGCCCAGCAGGCCACTCCGAAAGGCCTGGAGGAAGTCACGGGCTGCCGCAGCGTAGTTGGGCTGGATGACATTCACATCACCTAGGAAGGAAAGAAGCTGGTAAGGAAGGTACCTCCAAGAAGATGGCCCTGCCCTAAGACACCCGACAGCAAGCACCTGGAAAGCCTGAAGAATAGGCATCTGCAGAAAGAACAAAATCCAGGCACATCCCTGTCGGTCATCCTGTTACTCGGGAGGCTGACAGTACTGCATTGCCTGGCCAGCCCAGGCAAATTAGTGAGACCTTATCAAAAGTTTACAATATTTTTAAAGGGCTGAGAGTGTAGTTTAGTGGTACAGCATTTGCCTAGCATACACAAAGCCCTGGACTCAAATATCAAGTACCTAGGAAAAAACATCCCATCTACCTAACACTGCCAAGGTATGAGGAACAGGGCCAGACTCACCCTCTAATTCTGAACTGTAGGCTCCTCCCTCCTAGAAACTTCTATAGCTCCCTTCCCAGCCCCAACCCCAAGACAGCCACCAGCACATTCGCCTCCACATCTCCCATCTCCCTCCCTCGTCTGGGGTGGCTAGTGGGCCTGCCAGGTAACAGGGTGAGGGCCCCGTGCAGGTCAACAGCCCACTCACCTGTGCCAGTGAGCACCTTCACCTTCCGCGTCCTCCCCAGCCGCACAGCTATGCTCTTCAGCACGTGCTCTACGTCATCACTAGCACCGCTCAGGCCATAGTGCTGCACATACCTGCAGAGACAAGGGCCCATTCAAAGTTCTGAGAGGCACCATGCCTGAGAAAGCCTCCCACCCACATCTGCCAGGATGGGCAGCCACTCGGACTCCTGAAAGAGCCATGCTGTCTCCAAACAATGTGCTGTCTCTGTACCAAATCTCAAAACTTCTTATACGAAGCTAGATGTGGTGGTACTCAACTATGATCTCAACACTCAGGAAGCTGAGGCAGAAAGACGGCCTCGGGGCTGGGGAGACAGATCAGCAGTCTAAGCACCTGTCCCGGGTTCGATGCCCCATACCACATGCTGTGCCGGCCTGGGCACTGAGCCAACCACTGAAACCAGGCGTGTTGGCGCACACCTGTAATCCCAGCACTGGGGAGGCTGAGACAGGAGGATCACTAGGAGTCTGAGCTACACAATGAGACCCTGTACCAAATAAATAAAAACAAGATTTTTTTTTTAAAAGATGGCCTCAGGCCATCTAGGCTACCTAGTGAGACCCTATCTCAAAAAAACATAAAAACAAAACAATTCTTATAAGAAAAAGAAGCATTCGACAAGGGAAAATCCAAAAAGTCTGCACCAAATTAAAAATGAACAGGCCTGAAAAGCAGATCAGAACAAACAGGGAGAGCTATATGTGATCCACAATTGATTCTCCCAGAGGTAAGAGCGCTAAGGACCAACAGGATGAGCTGACTAGACCCTACAAAGACCATGACAGACTCCGAGCAGGAGAGAGAAATCTCGGTGCACAAGGCCAAGAGTCCTGGCAGCCAGTGACGCAAGCTCTAGGCAATGCGGGGAGGGGGGGAACCGAAGAAATATGGCTCAAAATTAGCCAAATGTGATTAGAAAAAAAAAAAAAAAAAAAATCACAAGGCCACAACTTTAAGAAGTTCAACAAACTGAAAGCACAAGAAACATGAAGAACACCATGCCAGGGCCAGAATAACCAAACTACTCAAAGCAAACATACTGAAAAGCAATCAGAAATTACAAAGACAGAGGGACAAGGACAGTGGAGAGCAGACACCCCAGCAGAGGCAAGCCAGGGACAAGCTGAGCTGCACCTCTCTAGCACTGGAAACCTGTCAGTCCAGAATTTCAGGTGCAGGGAAAACACTTTCAGATGAAGGTAAAAAGAAAATATTGATTCTTTTAATGAATAGAATGATTTGTTCTAATGGTGTTTGTGAATAGGATCACAAGTCCGCATCTTGTACAGCAATTAACCACTAAGAAGAATATATGCAGTGTATTATTTGTTGAAACTGTCCTTCCGATTTGATTTGAAACTGTCTCATTGCTATCTCTTTGTCAATAAAACTTTGAAAAAAAAAAAAAAATATTGAGACAGCCAGAGGCTAAAATGAAAGACCCATGACCATGTGACCTGCACCACAACAGAGGCGACGGATCACAGAAGACCCGCACCATGACACAGGTGAGTATCAGCAGCTAATCTGCATCACTAACAGGGATGAAAGGTCACAACCAACCCAGACCACAACCGGGGTGAGAGGTGAGCAGATCCGAGCAGGCCTGTCACACCACAGCCAACATGCATCACAGCAGGTGTGAAAGGCACAGAAAATGCCAGGTGGAAGGAAACCTGGATTTCCACAGAGATGAACAGCACCTGAAATGTTAACAGGTCTAGTAAAAATACAAGGTTTTCTTCTTACAGTTTAAATTTCCTTTAAAAAAAAACTATATAAGCAAAAGATAGGACCAGCAGCTCTCAACTTTGTAAGACACAAAGGTAAAATGTGTGATGACTGTATCACAAGGGTCAGAAGGAGGAATGTGGGAACTGACTGCTAAAAGGTTACCACATCAGGTAACACTGGAAACCCTAAACACACAAAAAGGTCACAGGTAACAAGCTAACAAAGGAGATGAGGCAGAATCAAAGAAATATTCAAATCTGAAGGGTACAACAGATATTGGGAAAAGGGAATGAACTTATTCAAAAGGAAAATTACTGAGTTGAGAAGGACAGGAGAGGGAGTGGGGGAAAGAGATATAGCTACATATGTAAGCAGGATGATTTGGACAACTATACTGTGCATTTCTGCTGGTCTGTGGACAGGAGCAGATAACAACTTGTTCTGTCTCCTTTTTTCAATTATACATTTCTTTTTACAATTTTACATGCATATATCTGGTAATATGAATAACTAGTCGGAAGACAACATTATGTATTACAATAAATACTGTGAAATTAATATTACTTTGTTAAGTGAAATTCTGTATCACTTGTTTTTTTGTTTTTTTTTTTGGCAGAACTGGGGATTGAACTCAGGCCCTTATGCTTGCCAGGCAAGCGCTTATTCTACTGAGTTATTTTCCTGGCCCTAAGCCAGGAGCATCATTACGAGTCTGAGACTAGTGCTTGCTTTGGCAGCACATATACTAAAATTGTAACAATACAGAGACGATCAGCATGGCCCCTGCGCAAGGATGACACACAAATTTGTGACGCGTTCCATATGTTTTCCGCACCTATAGTATTTAGATGCCAATGGTATACCCAGCTCTGACAGGACTAAACAAAAACAGGGGATACAAAGGAATGACCATTTTGTATCTGTATATGCAGAATGGTTAGGATAGATATACAGCTACTTTCGCTTAATTCAGTAAGAAGAAGCATTTGCAATAATAGCGTTTGGACAGGATATCCTGTCTGCATCTTGTACTATGGATAACCACTAAGAAGATAACAATGTACAATGTACAAATTATTGAAACTGTCCTATTAATCAGTTTTGAAACTGTCTCATTGCTATTTCTCAATAAAATAAAAAAAATTAATAAATAAATAAAACTATCACCATCTTAAAAAAAAAATGCATCTGGGACTAGCCTGGGCTACAAAAGTGAGTTCAAGGTTAGCCTGAACTACATAGTGAGACCCTGTCTCAAAAAGACAAAAACAAAAAGGAAAAAAAACCCACAAAATAACGTTATGATATTAAATTCTCCCTCAAACTCACTATAAATTTAATGGAATCTGTTTGCTTGCAAGGAAAGAAGCAATTTGGGGAAGAAATAGTAAGAACCAAGCCCAGGAACTTGCACATGCCAGCCCAAAGCACTGTCACTGAGGTACAACCCAGCCCTAAAAGCAGGAAGTGTAATAGAAACTAAAGAACTTCCTGTAAAGAACCTACTATAAGTAAAGCTATAGTTACCTACACAACCAAACAAAGCAACAGGAAGAATAAGATCCACAAACAGAGCCATATATGCAGTACCACTGATTTCCCACAAAGGTGCAAAGGAGAAAAAGAGTAAGCCTGAAGGGCCAGCCTGATAGCTCAGCAGACTAAAGCACCTGCTAAGGCACAGCACGATGGCCGGGGTTCGTTCCAGTTCCAGTGCGCTGAGATGGATTAAGACTAGGCGTGGTAGCTCTGCCTGTAATTCTAGCACTTGGGAAACTGAAAACAGGAAAATCACGGTGAGTCCAATCTACGTAGTGAAACCCTGTAGACCCTGTACTAAATACAGGGAAAAAAAAAGCCTGATGTGGTGGTGCACATCTGGAAGCCCCCAGCACTCATGAAGTTGAGGTAGGAGGATTACAATGCGTTCAAAGACAGCCTGGGCTATACAGTAAGCTCAAGACCCAATGGGACTACACAGCAAGACCCTATCTCAAAAGAAAGAAAAAAGTATTCAAAAAATGTTTCCTGAAGACCTAGAGTAGCAAAGGCAATTCTGGGTAAGAAAAAGAAAAGGGGGGGGTTGCAGGGGACAACCCATTTGGGCCCCCTTCTGTCCCTCTACTGGACAGAAGCTTTCTTTCCCCCAATAACTATATGCTCTTAACCTCCATGTGTTCCTAAAATTCATTCTTTGGTTTTAGAGAACACAAACTCATCCTAAATTCCTTTCAGATTGAGAGTTTCATCCCCCTATATCAACATAAATGCATAAACATTATGTCCCAAATTAAAAATTACTTAGAAATCAAATAAATAAAAGAATAATTTTTTAAAGTAGTAAAATAATATTCTTTTTTAAAGAGAAAAAGATATGGGCTGGCTAGATAGCTCAGTGGATTAAAGCATCTGCTTAGGCAGATGCAGTGGCTGGGGTTCGATCCCTAGCCTGCCGGCTCCACCCCTGGGGCACACTAAGACAGGACTGAGACTGCAAGGAAAGAAGCAATTTGCAAATGAGGGTAGCGTTACCTGAGACAGAAGCTTTCTTCCAAAATAAATATTCTACTCTCAGAAAAAAAAAAAAAAAAAAAAAAAAAAAAAAAAAAAAAAAGATGAAAAACAACAACAACAACAAGAAAGCAAGCAGAGGCATCACAATCCATGACTTGGATGCTGGAAAAAACAGCTTTCTACATCTCAAAGGTTAATATTAGACCTGTGTCCTTCACCAACACTAAACTAAAATCAAAACAGATCAAATATCTAAATACTAAAACAGAAACACTAAATCTGCTGAAAAGTAGATTAGGTAGAACTCTTAAAGACACTAGTTATAAGCAAAACTCCAATTGCACAGGAACTATAACAAAGAATCAACAAGTGGGACCTCATCTTATTAACAAGCTTTTGTACTGCAAGAAAAGCCACCAACAGGGTAATGAGACAATCTATGGTGTGGAAAAAAAAATTGTCAGCTGTTCCTGAAAGGATTACTATCAAGAATATATTTTTAAAAATTCAAAGGCTGAGCCAGGGAGATGGCTCAGTGGAATAAGCGCTTTCCTGGTAAGTGTAAGGCCCTGAGTTCAATCCCCAATTCCAAAAAAAAAAAAAAAAAAAATTCAAGGGCTGGGGCCAGGGAGATGGCTCAGTAGAATAAGTGCTTGCCTGGCAAGCACAAGGTCCTGAGTTCAATCCCAGGTACCGCAAAAAAAAAAAAAAAAAAAAAAAAAAAAAAACCTCAAGAGCTGATGAGATAGTTGAGTGGACTAAGCTCCCACTTAGGCAAGAGCAGGAACCTGGGTTCCATGCCTTTGTGCACTGGCTCCGCCCCCAGGCACCCTGAGCCTGCAACCCAGTCCGAGCCCTGTGGTACGTGCCCACAATCCCAGCACTGGGGAGACTGAAAGCAGGAGGATCACTATGAGTTCGAACTGCATAGTGAGACCCTGTACAAAATACACACATACATAATAAAAAAAAAAAATAAAAACTAAAAAAAAAAAGACACCGACTGCCTGCCCCCCAAGCCAGCCAGATAGCTCAGCAGATTAAAGCACCTGCTTAGGCAGACACAGGGACTAGGGTTTGATCCCCTGCATGCCATGCCAGCCTTACTCCCAGGGTACACTGAGTCGGCAACTGAGACTAGGCATAGTGGTGAGTGCCTATAATCCCAGCTCTTGGGAGACTACAATTCTCATCTGTGTAGTGAGACCCTGTAGACCCTGAACTAAATACTTAAAACTAAATAAATAAAATTAAGAAAAAGCTGGAGATACAGCTCAGTGGTAGGGAGTACGCGTGGAACAATGAGTTCCAGGGTTCAATCTCTACCACTAAAAACAAAATTTCAAAATAAAATAAAATTAGGTTAAAAAAACTACTAAATTTTGAAACATGGAAACCAAGACTTGACGAGACATTTCCCCAGAGAAAACAGATAGATGCTCATGAACAGAGGCTTAACGTCATTTGTCATACAACAACCCAATACCTGCTAGGTTAAATTTGGACTGTGTTGATGAGGACATAGAGAAACCAGAAATCTTTTTTTTTTTTTTTTTTTTTTCTGAGATAAGGTCTGGCTATGTAATTCAGACTGGCCTTGAACTCCTATCTAGCCTAGGCTGACCCTGAACTCACAATCCTGCCTCAGCTTCCCAAGTGCTGGGATTACAGGGATGCACCACCACACCCAGCTAAGAAACCAGAACTCTCACATCCTGCTAGTTTATATGAAACAGTATGACTATTTTGGAAAATAGTTTAGCTATTTCTTGAACAGTTAAAGCATACATCTACTCCATACCCCAGTCATTACTCTCTTGAAAAGAAATGAAAGATCATGTCACATAAAGACTTCTACAATGGGTTGGGGAGATCACTCCGTGGTCTAAGTGCCTGCCTGGCAATCACAAGGACTCAAGTTTAATCCCCAGTACCGCATGCCCCCCTCTGTTCATGTGCACCTATCTATTTTCTCTGGGGAAATGTCTCTTCAAATCTTGGTTTCCATGTTTCAAAATCTAGTTGTTGTTGTGTTTTGGGTTTTTTTGGTGGAACCGGGGATTAAACTCAGGCCCTTGTGCTTGTCAGGCAAGCACTTATTCTACTGAGCTATCTCCCCAGCCATTTTTTTTTTAATCTATTTTTGTTTTATTTTGAAACTGTTTTTAGTGCTAGAGATTGAACACTGGAGCTCACTGTTCCAAGCATACTCCCTACTACTGAGCTGCATCTCCAGCTTTTTCTTATTTTCAAGTTCTAGGAATTCTTCATATATTCTGGGTGCACCAAGCCAGCCACCAAAACTGGGAGTGGTAGTGCACACCTGTAAACCCAGCACTGGGGAGGCTGAGACAGGAGGATCACTATGAGTCTAAGCTCTGCGTAGTGAGACCTTGTACCATGTAAATAACTTACATATATATTGTTTCCAGAAGCTTTATTTTTAATACTACCCGAGGTCTACAAACAACCCATTGTCCACCCACAGGTAAAAGAATGAACAAACTGCAGTAACTCTAAATAATGAATTACTACACAGCTATAACAAACAATGAGCCACCAGTATCTACAGCAACACAGATGAATCTCAAAACAATCACACTCAGGGAGAAAAGCTACATGAGAGGATACAAACTTTACAAATCCTCTGGTATTAAATTCTAGAAAATGAAAACACCTAGCAACACATAGCAGACAATTGCCTGAGCACAAGGAGGAACAGGGAAAGGCAAATATAAACTCCAAGAAACAAGGTGAGGGAAACGCCCATTTACCTGATTATGTGAGTCTCATATGCATTTACTGTCAAATTTAGCAAATCATATGCTTTTTGGACATACGGATTACTGTATGTTTATAATATCTTAATGCTACTTTTACCAAGCCATACTTGGCTAGGACGAATGAGCAGCAGGTACCCACCCCACACTCACTGCCACTCACCTGAACATCCGGTGCTGGTTAAGGACGAAGAGGAGGTAGTCGGCCATGGTCTCCTCCCCAACCAGGTGATCCAACACTGTTCCTAGAAGACATGTAGTAGAGCTGAGCAGGAGACAGCTAGCATCTGCACCCCTGCCAAGCTTGCACCTCGTAGTTTTGGCCCATAAACAACTTCACTGCTCAGGACTCCCTGAAGGGTAGCACTAGCCTGGTTTCCTCCTGTCTGCGTGTGCCTTGCCCATGCAGCCTGATCTTTCTGGGTGCACCAAGCCAGCCAGCAAAACTGGGAGTGGTAGTGCACACCTGTAAACCCAGCACTGGGGAGGCTGAGACAGGAGGATCACTATGAGTCTAAGCTCTGCATAGTGAGACCTTGTACCATGTAAATAACTTACATATATATTGTTTCCAGAAGCTTTATTTTTAATACTACCTGAGGTCTACAAACAACCCATTGTCGACCCACAGGTAAAAGAATGAACAAGTATGGGAATAAAAGCCATTTTACAGGGCAGAGTTAAACCAGCATGTACACACTATTTTATTTCCTCACTAAGCCTGACAGGCAACAGTGTCAGGCAACAGCCAGAGGAAAGGTAGTAACAATTCTAAGGTGCCTAAAGACCATGCCCAGCTCAGCAGTAGAGCCCTAAAGGAAGGACTGAGAGACACCCACCCCAGCCATAGCTCACCACATAGGGCTAGCTTGAAGCCTGTCTCCACACTTCCAATCCGAGGAGCCAGCACCCCAGGGGTGTCCAACAGGAACATCAGTGGCCGCTCAGACACCTGTGCAAGCAGAGGATACCAGCAGATCCTGACGCAGTCTCCCACCCAGCTGGCCTCAGGGCATCTCCTCACACCAGTCTTCTGGCTGAATAGGGGCCCCCTCCAATGGCTCTAAGGCAGCTTCTGCAAACAAATCCCCAAAAAGGTCATCATTTTCACCAAGCTCTAGTACTGCTACAGGATTTAAACTGCACATAATTTGGAAACTAAAGAAAAGCACCAGGTCCTATAGAGAGCCAAAGGGAAAAGGTGGAGGGTGGGTTCCATTCAGTCTGACCTTGACCCTGGTTTATGATGGGGAACATGGCTGCCTCCCCCACAGGTTTGTGTAAGGACAGTGCTGGCGCAGGATCACCAATGGAGAAAAGACAAGACAGCTGGAAGCAGGGGCCACTAGGGGGAGCTCAGCAGTGCCAGGCATAGAGCTTGCACCGTGCTGGGCAGTGCAACAGCCATGCCTAACGAGAACCCTACCTGAATTCTGGATGTTACAGCTCTGGTGATCCCAGGTGTACCACCCACTCTGGCAGCTTTTCCTGTAAGACAGCAAGAGAACATCAAATGCTCATTAACACACAGCTGCAGAACACAGAACAAAACAGACAGGTCTGACAGCACATCTGGCAAACAGAACAGAAACTCCAAAGACTGTCATCATCCCATGTTCAGCCACAAACAACTCAGAGCAGGGGCACTTTTCAAAAGCGCAGGCAAAGAGGCCAAGAGGCTCAACAAATGGCCAAACTTCACCTGCTAGTCCTTGCTCCCTCCCTCCCAGACACACCTGCCTCCCAACACTGCTCACAGCAGGCCTGACCTGCAGGGCCTGGGCCTAATGGCTGCAGCTGCCCAGCGAGGAACCCAGCTCAAGGCATGAGCCAAGGACATTGCCCAACCTACTCCCAAACCAACTCAAGAGTAAAGAAATAGGGCTGGTGAGATGGCTCAGTGGTCTAAAGCACCTACTTAGAACAAGCTTAGCAAAGCACAGGGACCATGGTTCAATCCCCCAGCACCACATGCCAGCCAGCCCCACCCCCTGGTGGGCTGATCAGGCCACACACACACACACACAAATAAAATTTTTTAAAAAAGACTGGTTGGGCTGGTGAGATGGCTCAGTGGTCTAAAGCACCTACTTAGAACAAGCTTAGCAAAGCACAGGGACCGCGGTTCAATCCCCCAGCACCACATGCCAGCCAGCCCTGCTCCCTGGTGGGCTGAGCTGGCCACACACACACACACACACAAATAAATAAATAAATAAATATTTAAAAAATAATAATAATAAAAATAAAAAAGACTGGTTAAGAGTAAAGAAATATATAGAACAGCCGGTCACAGATGAACACAGTATGGTACCAATGCACACAGGAGTGCGAGTCAGACTGAAAAAGGAGGTACTCCTGACAAAGCTTCAACATGGACAAACCCAAGACAGTGTGCCGAGTGAAAAAAGTCAATCATGAAATGACAAATATGGTGTAAGTACACTACCTGACAGTGTTGGAGTGGCAATGGAAGTTGCCAGGGAATGGAGGAAGAAAGAGGGGTACTGTCTACACTTCCAGAGTTCGACTGAGGTAATGAAACAGTCTGGAGAACAAGCAGTGGGGAAGGCTGCACAACACCATGAATGCACTTAACGTCACTAAATTTACAAAACCTTTGCTTGTGGCTCCATGGCAAAGCACTTGCCTGGCATGCAGCAAGCTCTCCGTTGGATTCCCAGCACTGTATTTTAAAAAGTGACACTGGTAAAGGAAAATGTTAAAAAATAGATGCCTAAGCTGAGCATGGTACACACACCTATAATCCCAGCACTCGGGGAGTCTGAGGCAGAAAGATCCCAAATTCAAACACAGCCTGAGCAACTTAGCTAATCCAAAAGAAAGAAGTATTCGTCTCTGGTTTCGCAAAAAAAAAAAAAAAAAAGTATTAGAGTTGGGTGCTCAGTGCAAAGGCCCAGGGCTCAAAAAAAGAGATGAGTATAACACCAAAAATAATGGTCCAACATGATTTAAAAGTGAGGTGGTACACACCTGTGATCATAACATTTAGGAAGCTAACGCAGGGGAATCGCCTCAAATTCGAGGCCAGTGTGAGCTACAACATGAATTCAAGGCCAACCCGAACTATTTAGCAAAACTCTATCTCAAAATAATTTCAAATCAAGCTGAGGATGTGGCTCAGTGGAAAAGTAAAAATCTAGCATGTTCCAGGGGAAAAGAAAAGGCAAAGAGGAGAAATAAGAGAAAGAAAGGAAATAAAATGTAAAAGGAATGACTGTCTAGCACACATACCTCAGTGACACCACTAACTGTCCTTCTAATGGAAAAGAACACGAGACACAGAAGGACTATGTCAGAGCAACAGAGGCCGACCGTGCTCCTCAGTGCTGGGGGAGTGGAGCTCAGCAGCCTGGCTGAGGGCGTACCTATCTTCAGGTGCTGTCTCCTCAGGGAGTTGATGAGGGAGGACTTGCCCACATTGGGGATACCAATCACCATGATGCAGTACTCCATGTTCTGCAAAGGCAAGAAAGGAGCCTCTAACCCACAGCCCAGGAGAAGGGGAGGATAGGCAGGGGTTATGCCAACTGATGGGACTGGCCCAGCCCTTCTCATAGAACAGACGAGGACAAAGGCTGAGCCTTCCTGCTGAGCGACATGACTGTTCTCAGCACTCTGGCAGCTTTGGAAGGGTCAACAGCACAAGAGGTGACCCCAGAACACCCACACCCCACCTCCAGGCCCCACCAACAAACCTCTGCTCGATGGTAGCGATAGCTGCTCCCAACTAGTTCAGTGATCTTCGGGATGATCTGCAACAAACCAGCCACACATTCTAGACTAAAGACCCCTCACCAACCTACTTCCTGTGACCTCCAAATATCAAGGACTGTCTCCCTTTCCACCCATCACAGAGTCCACTCATCAGCTGATACAGAAACATGGCTCTTCTGTAATTTCTGGAAACAGCAGTCTTCCACATCCAGTCCAAGTGAACTGTGGCTGGCCTGAACTTGTCCCTCCTCATCCCACCATGCAAACAAGATGGCTTCTCTGAGCAGCTTTTGAGATTGCTGTAATTGTAACTATCTTCTACAAAATCATGTAGCAAACCATCGACTCCTACCAAATACAACTGGAAATAGCTGGGCGTACACTTGTAATTCAAGTGTTCAGGAAGCAAAGGCAGGAATGCCTCGAGTTCAAGGTCAGCCTGGGCTACATAGAGAATTCAGGGCTAGCCTGGGCTACATACAGAGTTCAAGGCCAGCCTGCACTGCATAGTGAGACCTTGTCTTAAAAAAAAAGGAAAAATAAATTACTGCCCTGTCTAAAGGTTCTTGCTACTTATCATTTCTGCAAAATTCTGTGCTCCTTCAAAAATTATCTCAGGCTGTGAACAGGAGGTCAGGCATCCCTGAGCAACACAAGCCAATTCTATGATCTTCTGCAAAGCTTTGCTTACTGTAAAACAACTGAAGCAGCAACATCACAACACACAAACAGAGAACGACCTACCTGCTTGATGTTTTCATCCTTCACACAGTTGGTAAAAATGATATTTTTTTGGCCTTCTCCTTCTAAGTGATGCACAATTTTCTGAAAGACACTCCCGTTTAAAACACTAAATGAAACCATGAGCACAAAGGAACACTCAGCCAGAAGCACTGGTCTGCTGGGAACCAGCAAAGCCTCCAGGAGCTAGGCAGCAAGGAGCAGACACCGGCACAGACAATGGGGAGTCCAGAGAGTAGCTGGACTTTGAGGGCAGCTGGCACCTCACTGACAACAGACAGGACAACAGGGAAGGGCACTGGGACAGGGATGTAGAGGCTTCTTTTGTTAAAAGGCACTGAGACTTAACTTGGGCCTCCAGATGTCCAGTGGGTAACTAAAAGCAAGATAAAAACTTAGTATCTCTGACTTCATTTTCTATATGTCTCCTGTGCTATTAAAGTTTGAGTCATTCCTGCTGACTGACATACGCACTTGTATAGTAATCACTGAAGGAATATCTATCTAAAAACTGGTAATTAAGGTTGATTAGTCTTTAATTTACGTAGCTGCTCCTGTAGAGACCCACCAGCCTGAAAAAGCTAGTACTGAAAGAACAGAAATAATCAATCACTGGTCAGACTCAGGTCTCAAGGAGTAAAAGTAACTGAAAGTGTTTGTGATGATAAATAAGCACAACTGTAAATGCAGAGAAAACCACAAACATGTGTTTGAGAGCCTGTTTCATCCTAAATAGCCAGAGGGTTTTAAAAAGGAAATGCCTTCACTATCCTCCTGACAAAAACTTTACTATTTAAAGCTTCCTGAAAGCCTGAGGTGGAGTCCAGTGATTGGGGTTTAGGTAACTAGAACATGCCTCAGTCAGCTAAGAAATCTAAAAGTGTTATTCCTGCTAAGCAAAGCAACTTTTCCAGCATTAACAACTTTTTAAAATGACTTGAATTTAAACACTTTAATATCTCTTTGCATGTAACTGTCCTACTAACCTGTTTTAAAACTCTCATTGCTATTTGTTTCTCAATAAAATTAATTTTAAAAAAAATAATAAATTTGCCACCATAAAAAAACAGCATAGATATACAGCTACCTTCTGTTAGATCAATGAGAAGAAAGTTTTGAACTAATAGTGTTTAGACAAGATATCATGTCTCCATCTTATACATGAATAACTACTATGAAGATGACAAAATGCAATGTATTACTGTAACTGTCCTACTAACCTGTTTTGAAACTGTCTCACTGCTACTTCTTTCTCAATAAAATAAAGACAAAAAGAATTATGAAAAAAAACTCTTTGCAAAGGACTTCTCACAGCAAGGTAAGAAAAACAAATATAACACTCAAATAACATTTGCAGAATGCACATTTCTTTCATGTTGGGGCCACGTGGGAAACTTTCCTGCTGGTCATCTGTGCCTGATTCCTGATTCTGCCTGACTCTGGTGAAACCCTTTAGCTATGTTGAGTCTTTGCCATGCCCAGCCCTTCCGCTCCAGCTCAGAAGGCAGCCAGAAGCTGAAAACATGGCATCAAGCTGGCAAGTGTGGACACCAGGGGAACCACAACTATCACAGGATACCTCCCGGCCAGACCCGTGCTGTCGGAGGCTAAAGCATTAGTCTTGGGCATCATTTCAAACTCAAACTAATGAAAGCTAAGTAAATATGAAAGTCAGGTCCTCAGACACAGCGGTCCCATGTGACCAGAAGCCGCCATATGAATGGAGTACCCACCATCTTAGAAAAGGCCTCTGTACAGCATGGCTGTGGCACCACTCAGGCTCCAGTGGCACAATAACCACCTTTCACAGGAGATATGACCACTCTGAGCATTTTGAGCATTTGTGTCACAAGTTAATGTTCAAGGGAAGCATGCCATGATGAAACCAGAGTAGAATGCTCTGGCAAAACCTAGTCATCCCTGAAGCAGAGGTTGGGTAGGGGAGTTAATAGGACACGACTCTGTGAGCAACTCTGTGAGCAACTCCTGATGTACCACAGGCGTCTGGAAGGGAACACCCTTACCTGCTGCTCTGTCAGATCTGCCAAGTCCATCTTGTTGAGGACAAGCAAGTGAGGCTTCAGCCCAAGGGTTTCCTGAAACAGATGATTTCGACCTGAAAGTGGGATGTGCCAACATTAAGGCAAAATTCCTCCAAAACTTTACCAATCAGTTCACTTATTTTGACCTTCTCTACCTTGGTCAGGTACTGAAGAAAAAGGAAGAAGCCCCGTGTCAAGGTAAAAGTATCCAGCCCACTCCACCTTCCCATCCCAAAATCTACAAAGCTGACCCTTTCTAGTTAGAGAAAGGCTGCTCCTTCTGCCACTGCCAGCAGAGTAGTAGCTATCATATGACTTACCAAACAAGAATGATAGCACTAAGAAAGTTCAGAGGATTTTATAACTAAGTCATTAATTAACAAGATATAGAAGTTTTATCATGCAAGTCATTTTTATCATATATATGGTGCAGCACGTGGTGCTGGGGATGGAACTGTGGTCCTCTGCACCTAAGCTTGCCTAAGCAGGCACTTTAGACCACTGAGCTATCTCACCAGCCCGATACAGAAGTTTTAAATGAAGTCTATGGTCATTCAAGAAAGTGACTCCAATAAAGTTCTAACTAGAATATCATAAAGTACTGCTCATCCTCTAAGACCACTAAGGTATGTTGTACGCCCATCAAAGGGGGTCCAGCAGCTGCATCTACAGCCAGGCAAGTCATTTTTCCCCAGAGTCCTTCACAGAAGACACTGCCTCTTTACTGCCATCCTCACCGAGGGGCCCCAGGACTGAATGGTTCCCACCTCACATGACACAAACCAGTTAGGGGTATTATCTTCACCTCCCGAGCCCTCACTCCCCTGGTTCTATGAAGTCCCAAAACATGCCCAGCCCAGGCACCTGAGCAGGCCGTGATCTCCCACCCAAAGGTGACTTCCCTCAGAGCTAACACCAGTCATGATGTATTAGAAATCTATAAGCCTTCAGACTCCTCTCCTGGCATGTTAGAGAGGCCACTATCCGGCACAGGGCCCTCTTCCTGCCTAGAGATGACAGGACAGAATGTCCCTGAGACCAAACGAGAAAACCTCTTATCAAACACTAAATAATAACTACAGATTTTATTTTGTTTTGATAATCAAGTCATAAATTGTGGTGACACACCCCTATAATCCCAGCACTCAGGAGGCTGAGGTAGTAGGATCGCCAAGAATTCAAGGCCAGCCTGGACTACACAGTGAGCGTAGGCCAGCCTGAACTACATAGCGAGACTCTGTCTCAAAACAATAACTGCCAACAAAAACTTTTTTTCCCCCCCAGGAACCAGGTATTGAACTCAAGCCCTTGCACTTGCCAGAGAAGCGCTTATTCTACTGAGCCATCTCCCTGGCCCCCGCCAACAAAACTTTTGATCAAGCTGGGGAATATAGCTCAGTGGCATAAACTCCTGCCTGGCAACTGCAAGGTCCTGAGTTCAATCCCCAGTACAAAGAAAGTTAAATGTTCCAAAAACTTTTTTAATCAACAAGAGATATCAAATGAATAAATACAGCTTTATGGTGTATAGAAAAGAAACGCTCAGAAACATTTTGTTGCTAAAATTCCAACAAATCTTTATAAATGATCTCCCATCCTGTACTATTTCCAGATTCCTGGCAGTGGGAGGGCAGGAACACGTAATCTCAGGTTTCATATCCTGAGATTTCCATTGCTGGACCACATTAGAAAGCCTCAGGAAAAGGCTGAGGCAGACAATGTATCAATTCATAGTGTTAAAAAAGCGTGTAGCCTGGACTCCATGCCAGATTCTGCTTCAGTGTTTAAAAGCCTCCCTGGTAATTCTAAGGTGGTAACACAGACTGCAAACCACTGATCTGACATGCTAGGTTGCTACTACTGTAAGCAGCTGACTGGTCCTACACCAGGAAAGCTTCCTTCTGGCTCCTAAACAGTCTGTGGTAGGAAGGAGGCTCCTTCTCCGCCATGAAAGGATATCCGGGCGTCATGGACCTCGATGATGCAGTCCACCAACTTCAGACTACTCTGCATCTTCTTCAGCCCTGGAAAACAGGAGAAGGGCACTAAGGGGCCAGCCCATAAATTTTCAGAAAAGCAGATTTAAGCTGGCCAGTCAAGAATGCCACTGCAGTTTTGATATTAGTGTAAATTCAGAATGCTTGACTTAGTTTGACACACTCTGTGTTATGTATATTTTTCTGCTCATGAGCTGTAACAGAGAATTTGCTAGATTTCTTCCTCTCTCAAAAAGAAGCCTTTTAGGGGCCAGGGAGATGGCTCAGTGGAATAAGCACTTCCCTGACAAGCGTAAGGTCCTGAGTTCAGTCCTGGGTTTCACCAAAAAAAAAAAAAAAAAGGAGCCTTTTGAGTCCAACTAAAAATTGTGATTCCTATTTTTAAAAAAATGGTAATTAATTCAAAATCCTTGGTGCAGTGATGTATCTCCCCACTTTTTTATTAGTATATGTTTGGAGTATATAATAATTTTATGTATATTTTAGGGAATTAGTACATGTACATATTCAAGTATATTTCCTTATTTCCATCAATTTATTTTTGTCGGCATCTGACTCATTTATCTCTGGGGGCTGGAGAGATGGCTCAGTGGAATAAGCGCTTCCCTGGCAAGCGCAAGGGTCTGAGTTCAATTCCCGGTAACGCAAAAAAAAAAAAAAAAAAAAAAAAAAAAAAATTCCATTTATCTCATAAGACCTCATAAAGTTAACTATCAAAGATACAGATCAATAAATAGAGTACAAAACACATTTAAAAAAAAAAAAGGAATGCCACTGCAGGGGCCGGGAAGATGGCTCGTAGAATAAGAGCTTGCCTGGCAAGCACAAGGGCTGGGTTCAATCCCCGGTTCCACCAAAAGAAAAAAGTAAATTAAAAAAAAAGGAATGACACACCACCAGAAGCAACCTAAAATACATCTGACTGGAGCACACTCAAACGTGGTCCAAAGGGACATGAGCACGGTAAACCAGGTCCCGACATCGCTTGTGGATGACTCTGAGCAAACACTCCATTTCTAGGCACCTGGGTCTTGGCTACAAACAGATTACGTCACCGATATTGTACCGACGCAAGCAACGGCCCCCGCCCCTCATTAGGTACACACTGGACAGCTCCAGGGCTGCAGCCGGCCCACCCGCGGGACCCCAGCCGAACCCGGCCGACGATTGGATGCCCGGGACCTGACCGTGCCGGCTGGGCTTAGAGTGGGCGTGTAACAGGAAATGCCCAAATACGCTGAGGCAGAGGAAAGCGGGATTAGGGAAAGCTAAAGGCGCGGGAGAACAGCAGCAAGAGACCCTACGACGAGACGGTGGCTCCCACCCCTACTCCGCCTCGGTGTAGCAGTAAGTACACGCCGCACCGGAGGCCGCGGAGGCCGTGCTGGGGGGACCGTGGGGACGAGGACGGGGGCCGGACTGCGCCTCCCGCCGGACCTCACCCTTGGCCATGTGGCCCGGGAACCACCGCGCCACGTCGCGGCCGTGTAAGGGAAAGCATTGGCGCCAGGCAGCCACAGAAGCGCACATGGCGCGCGGAAACAGCCGCATGGCGCCGCGTCCCGGAAGCGCTCCGCAGCGTAGGGTCTTCCAGACGGGACCGGTCGGGGCGGGCTCGGCGCGGCGCAAGTGCGTGCGCAGCCGCGCGTGCGCAAAGCGCCGCCTCTGCGTGGGGCGGGGCGGGGCCGGGTGGGCGGGGCCTATGCGGGCGGGGCGGGGCGGGGCTAGAACCAATTTGGACCTGCGCGGTCAGTCCGGTCTCAGGGTTCAGAGGTTTCACGCGGTTTAAAAAAAAAAAAAAATCGGAGCGTCAACATTCGTTAAATCGTAAGTCCTAAAAGCCCTGGGCGGTGGGGATGTGCTTAGTATCGTATAAAACTTTACTGACGTGCGCCATTCAGGACCTCCCACACAGGGAACAGCCTAGGGCCGTCTCTAGAAACAGGAACATCTCCCAAAGGAACACGGACTGTTGAAACTCCCTATCTCAAGAAAAACCTTTGCCTTTGAAGGAAGGCATAAATTACAACAAAACCCAGTTGGATTTCTCCCACGTATCAAGAGGTATTCCATCCCGGATGACCAAGCTGGTGACACAAGCAGAAAGCATTCTACAGATCTCAGGTAGATGACATCAACTTTTATGGGGACAGACTGGGAGGTGGGTGGGGTATGGGTTCACAGCAGGCCCCGGAAGGGCGGTTTGAACCTAGACCTGAAGAATGAGAAGAAAGGAGACCAGCAGAGTTGGGGTGGATTGCTGGGCCCAGCAGTTTTGGGGATGAATGAGACAGGCTTAAAGCAGCCACCTGAGGCCTCTTTCCAACATGAGGAACCAGAACCAGAGCCTGGGCCCAGCTGGGGCAAGAAACAAGACTATCCTGCGGTGCAGAAGCCAGGGGCTCCCTACACGAGCCCTTCAGCAGCCCACGGAGTGCAAGGGTGGGGTGCAGGCCGCTCTGGGGTCCCTCAGCTCCCTTTGGAGTGCCACTCTCCGGTTGCACCCACTTTTCCTCCACCACCCTCAGCACTCAGAGAACGGTTCAGACTCGTACTGCAGCTGTGGCATTGGTCAGTCAGCTAAGGCTAAGTGTTCTGTTTCTTCTGCTGTGAAAATGTTATAGGAAGCAAAGTTAAAAATTAATAGGCAGGGGCCAGGGAGATGGCTCAGTAGAGTAAGTTTCCCTGGCAAGCACAAGGGCCTGAGTTCAATCCCCGGTTCCGCAAAAAAATAAAAATAAAAAATTAATAGGCAGTCAGACAGAGACGGCCCCAGAGGGAGCAGTGCAGATGAGTGTACATCAAAAGGGACTGGGTGCGGGGGACGGCATCTGAAGAAGGTGACGGTGGCCAGGTCTGCATGCCTCCCTGAGATGAACAGCAATTTGAGATTATACTATCATTTGTTATACCCAGTCCAGATGGGAATCAGACATCTAGGTGGGTGAACAAAAAAAAAAAAAAAAAAATGAAATCCCTCTGGGCTAGGGAGATAGCTCAGTGGCATAAGCACCTGCCTGGCAAGCACAAGGTCCTGAGTTTGATCCTGGGTACCACATGCTGTGCCGGCCCTGGAACCAGATGTGATGGCACAAGCCTGTAATCCCAGCACTAGGGAGGATGAGTCAGGAGGATCACTATACAGTCCAAACTGTTTAGTGAGACCCTTTATCAAAAACAAAACAAACTCTTGTTCTTTTTATATTAGAAGTATAGATAAGCTAAAGTTAATGTTGATTGGCATATGCCTTGCCTCCCTATTGGATCAATATTAGCTAAATGACTACGTATAATCCATCAGTTGATTGTAGTGAGACCCATTTGTACCCACGCTGTGACTTTGCTATGTAAATTACCCCTGACAAAGTGTGTCAGTGGTCACCCCATTCAGGATACCCCTTGGAAATCCAGGAGCTGTTCTTTTCTTCTTATTTCCAATAAAACTTTCTATTTCTTCTTTGGATCTGAACTTCATTCCTCAATGTTGCAGGGCCAAGAACTCCTCTGACATCTTACAGGTCGACATATATTTAAAAAAAAAGAGCAACATAGGCACAGCGCCCTCCCCTCCGGCCGCAGCCTGACATGCCACGGGGCCCCCCTGTCTCTGCAGCCGCCTCCCCCAGGCATGGCCCAGGACCTCGCCTCACTGTGGCAGCAGCACGGCACAGCACGCTCGACTTCATGCTCGGCGCCAAAGCTGATGGCGAGACCATCCTAAAAGGTCTACAGTCCATTTTCCAGGAACAGGGCATGGCGGAGTCGGTGCATACCTGGGAGGACCATGGCTATCTAGCAACCTACACAGACAAAAATGGCAGCTTTGCCAATTTGAGAATTTATCCACATGGATTGGTGTTGCTGGACCTTCAGAGCTACGACAGCGATACCCAGCGCAAAGAAGAAATTGATCATCTTTTGAACAAAATAGAAGAGAGAATGAAAGAATTGAGTCAGGCCGGTATTAGGCGGATGAAGCGTTTGCCAGCCATAATTCGAGGAGGGGCCATCGACAGGTACTGGCCTACAGCTGATGGGCGTCTGGTTGAGTATGACATAGATGAAGTAGTGTATGAGGAAGACTCACCTTATCAGAACATTAAAATTCTACACTCAAAGCAGTTTGGAAATATCCTCATCCTTAGTGGGGATGTTAATTTGGCAGAGAGTGATCTGGCATATACCCAGGCCATCATGGGCAGCGGCAAAGAAGATTACACTGGCAAAGACGTACTGATTCTGGGCGGCGGAGATGGAGGAATATTATGCGAAATAGTCAAACTGAAACCAAAGATGGTCACTATGGTAGAGATTGACCAAATGGTGATCGATGCATGTAAGAAATACATGCGGAAAACGTGTAGCGACGTCTTAGACAATCTCAAAGGAGACTGCTATCAGGTTCTGATAGAAGACTGTATTCCAGTACTGAAGAGGTACGCCAAAGAGGGGAGAGAGTTTGATTATGTGATTAATGATTTGACCGCTGTTCCAATCTCCACGTCTCCAGAAGAAGATTCCACATGGGAGTTTCTCAGACTGATTCTTGACCTCTCAATGAAAGTGCTGAAACAGGATGGGAAGTACTTTACACAGGGGAACTGTGTCAATCTGACAGAAGCCCTGTCGCTCTATGAAGAACAGCTTGGGCACCTGTACTGTCCTGTGGAATTCTCCAAGGAGATCGTCTGTGTCCCTTCATACTTGGAATTGTGGGTCTTTTACACTGTTTGGAAGAAAGCTAAACCCTGAAGCTGAAGACGCCAACAATTGTGCTGCAGATAGCCCTCCTGACCTGCATATGCTGTACACGCCATCAAATGAGTCAGGCAGTTGATCGTGACTTTCTTAATGTTTGCTCTTATTTTTTAATTTTTAAAAAAGTAAATGGAAAATGTATATTCTGATGAACTAGGGTGTTATTTTTTTGAAATTCAGCTGAAGGACAATTAGACAGCACAGCAAAGACTGTGAAATGCACTGACCCCCTAGAATGTGATTTTAGTTACTTTTTATTTCTGTGTGGGACCTTTCATTTGTTTTGATTTTGATAGAACTTAAATTTGGACCTTTGGAGGAATGAACATCATTATTTTGTTTTGGAGGGAAGTTGTTGAAGGTTTTCAAGAAAATGACTTAGATTTTAAAATTTGGTGTTTGTAAGAAAGTTAAAAATGAATAGCAATACTTTAATTAAAGTTACAAAAGAAAAGAACAACATAGTCTGTTCGCTAGGTCTGCTGTTAGGGTGCACTGATACCAAAGAGAATACGTTGCAAGCCCATCAACACTGCCCAGTTCTTCAGTACACTCCCCATGCCCACTCTAATCCCCTCCAGCTCCCCAGGCCTACCCTGCTGGGCCTGCTCAGCCTGATTCCCCAAGGTCTTTACTTTCTCCAAAAAAAATCTCAGGCCCCAGGTCAGGACAAGGTGGCCCATACATCACAATGTCTAATGTCTGTCGATGAGCGACGGGAAGTTTGTAGTTCACAATATGGCCATGGAGCTGAGCAGTGGGAACCAGGGGTAGTGCCTCATGATGCCAACCACAGGGACAACCCCAGGACGCGGCACAGGGAACCCAGCCAGAGGAGCCATGTGCTATGGGCGCAAGAGTCAGAAACAGGGCCTTGCCTGGTTTGAACAAGATGAAGACAAAGGCAACAGGTGTTGCTGTCCAGTGGCATAAGGACACCTTTGAGTAGAAGGTGGTGTTAACTGCTTCATATGCAAAGCATCACCATTAACAGCAGCAGCCCGTCACTGTGAGCCCAAGCTCACTCCAGTGACAGATGTGAGAAATGTGAGGGTGACCCAGGTACTCCATAGAGATTAGCAGTAAAATTCCAACATCTCAAGTCAGACTGAAAATCATAGGTCACAGAAGAGGAGGGTCCCAGCCTTCCACACAGGAGAAGCAGAGCCAGTGGGAGCCCAGCTCAGAGCCTGGACCAGGGCTCCTGCATCTTCAGGTTCCACAGACTGATGAGGCGGTCAGCCTCCCTCCAGCCAGACAGCAGTGCCCCATGCGTTGTGGAGTAAAATGTCCGATGAGTGGCTTCCCCTGCAAACAGTACCTGGAGCTGCAGAAAAGTGGCAGGGTTAGTAAAGGAGTATCATTGAGATAGCTATTGAGAAACATGTAGAAAACAAAGCCCCCCACACACACGCTGCCATCCACATAGGGGGCTGGGGGGTGGGAAGTCACTGCCTTTGATTGAGCAGCCATGATGCAAAGAGACAGGGACTAGGCCCCTGCGTTGTGAGTGATGGAGCCACAATTACTGAATCGCCCCTGGGAAGGTCAGAGACTGCAGAGCCAGGGTGAGTAGAGAGTAAGGGAAGCCTGCCCTTAGGAGCCACGGCAGAAGCCAGTCAGTAATGCCTAAAGCTAAAAACCCCAGACTGATCTGACCAATAAGCAAACTGAAGGGGAGATCATGTGACGACTAGCAAACTGGACACTGAATACCAACACTAAGTTCTTAATTTCTGAGTGCGGTAGTAATACAGTTCCATATTTTCTAAGAGTGTCCTTGTCCTTTACAGGCTCATAACAAGATATATGCTCAGTAACAATAAGGGAGGGCAGTGGGAAGAGGCTGCTGCTGAGGCAGAGATCCACCACTTCTACCTATTTTTGTACACATTTGAGGTTTTCCATATTAAAATTTTTAAAGTAGTAATTTAAGCTTGTAATTTTTTTTTTTTTTTTTTTTTTTTTTCAGAACCAGGGATTGAACTCAGGCCCTTGCACTGCCAGGCAAGCATTTATGCTGCTGCGCTAGCTCCCCGGACCCCTTTTTTTTTGTTTGTTTTTTTGTATTACTGGGAATCAAACTCAGGACCCTGTGCTTGCTAGGCAGGTGCTTGTGTCACTGAACTATATCCCCGGCCCCAAGCTTGTACTTTAAAGAGATGTTATAAAATAAATAATAAAGTGATGTTTTATTTAGAGATCAGAATCAGCTATGAAGCTGGGGCTGTGACTTGGTGGTGGAGCAGCTGTCTAACATGTACAAGGCCCGGGTTCGACCTCAGTACAGTAATAAAAAAATCAGTTGTTGGAACTCCTAGGAAGAAGACAGGTGCCTCCACCAGCTACAGTACTTCTGTTTCATTTTATTTTGTTAGCCAGTATTGTAGAATCCTCTCTTTAAGCTACATGCATGTAAGATTCTGATACAAATAATACATTTGCGGGCTGGTGAGATGGCTCAGTGGTCTAAAGCATCTACTTAGAATAAGCTAAGCAAAAGCACAGGGAGGGCTGGAGAGATGGCTCAGTGGTCTGAAGCACCTACTTAGAACAAGCTTGGCAAAGCATCAGGGACCACGGTTCAGTCCCCAGCACCACATGCCAGCCAGCACCGCCCCCTGGTGGGCTGAGCTGGCCACACACCACTCTCTCTCTCTCTCTCTCTCTCTCTCTCTCTCTCAAATAAATAAAATTAAAAAAAAAAAAAAAAAAGCACAGGGACCGCGGTTCAATCCCCCAGCACCACATGCCAGCCAGCCCCGCCCCCTGGTGGGCTGAACTGGCCACACACACACAAAATAAATAAATAAACAATACATTTGTAAGTCATTCTTCATTTTGAAAAGACAACTTCTGAGTCTGAGAGGACCCAGTCCCACCCAGCCCGCCCTCAGACTCTAGCACCTCTCTGTCCCAGCTGGCGGATTCTGCAGAGGGACCCCCAGGGGACCACGCTGGGGCCTGCCATTATACCTGGGGGCCAGTGCCATCTACAGGGAGGGGCTGAGCCAGCAGGTCTATGTCATCTCCGGTGCTTCCCACGGCCACGTAGCTATAGGAACCCCGAGTATACGGGGTGCTATGCCAGCGAGACCGCAGCACACTCTTGGGAGCAGGTAGCTGTGGGTTTCCTGAAACAGATATGATACATTAATCCAAAGCACTCACCCATGTACTGGCAATCAGTTTTTCATTTTAAAAACGGCAGTTTGGCCAAGTGGTAGCATATGCCTATAATCCCAGCACTTGGGAGACTGAGCCAAGGGCATCCCTGCATTTGAAGCCAACCTCGGCTACATAGTTCAAGTCCAGCCTGGAGTGCATAACAAGACTCTGCCTAAAAAAAAAAGACTGAGAAGTTTAAAATGAAAAATAAAAGCCAGAAAGAAAATCAAGCGGGGGGTGGGGGGGGGGTGGCTGCCAGTTAGCTAATTTGTTTAAGTGCCTGCTTATACAAACACAACCAGGCGCAGGATACTGCGGTTCAATGCCCAGCTTCACAGGCCTTACCAGACCAACCCTTAAGGCAGCCTGAGCCAGCTACACAGAAAGAAAGAAAGAAAGAAAGAAAGAAAGAAAGAAAGAAAGAAAGAAAGAAAGAAAGAAAGAAAGAAAGAAAGAAAGAAAGAAAGGAAGGAAGGAAGGAAGGAAGGAAGGAAGGAAGAAAAAGAAAGAAAGAAAGAAAAAATCAAGCCACCAAGTAGACACTTAAGAGGCATGTTTCATGGGGGCTGGGGAGACGGCTCAGTGGAATAAGCGCTTCCCTGGCAAGCACAAGGGCCTGAGTTCAAGCCCCGGTTCCACCAAAAAAAAAAAAAAAAAAAAAAGCAGCTGTTTCAGCCTTAGCCACTCTACTGTGTAGGACAAAGAAAAAAGCAGATGTTCTTATAGTTTGGATCTAAAATGCCCCCTAGAAATCTCAGGCAGTCAGAGGTGGGGTTTTCAGAAAGTGATTGGATCATGAAGGCTGCTGACCTTAGCAGTGGACCAACCCATTGATAAGATCATAATCTGGTGGCACTGGCAGGTGACGGAAAGAGGTGGTGTGACCTGCAGGAAGGGAGTGAATCCCGGAGATCTGGCCTTGGGGACCATAAGATCGCGCCTTTCCCTTTTTGCCCAGCTCTTTCCCTATTTCCTGGCTTCCAGGAGGTGAGCAACCTTCCTCCACTGTCTGTGTGACAGTTCTGCCTTGTCCCAGACCTAACAGTAACGGAGTAAGCCAACCTTTGACTGAAGCCTCTGAAACTGTAACCAAAAATAAGTTTTCCTCCTTTATTTTGTGCAGGTATTTTGTCACAGTGACCAAAAACTGGCACAGACAGCAGGCAACAGCACTGAACCCAGGGCTTGATTGACTCAGCTGACCCCTGGCTGCCCACATAGCTTTTCTAAGCCCCACTTCTTCATATGAAAGCATCTGGTTAAGTACAATGAGCTTTATTTTGTGGCACATTTTAGAGACAACAAGTAGAAAGTATTTTTAAAGTCATTATACTTCATTGGCAATAAAATCTGTACTGACTACACTAGTATGAGGAAAGGTTATGCAGAGATGTGCCTCAAGATTTAGCTCTTTGTTCCAAAAGTCTGTTTCCTGTTTAGAGATCAGCCAGTAGGAATGCTGCCCTGACTTCCTGTGATAAGTAAGTACCTGTCACTCTCCGGAGCACTTGGGTTAGAGACTGAAGTACTTCTCCATCGGACAGTGTCTCCATAAACTCCGACTCCAGCCCAGCAATGAACCCGCAGAGCACATGCGCAGACCTGCGTGGAAAGAAGGACCGCTGAGAGGAGCTCCAGTTACCTCAGCCCCACACCAGCGCCCTGTGTCCATGCCCACCAGAGTGGTGCCCTGCGCTTGCCCAGGGCACAGGCTCTTCTCACAACACTAACACAGCAGAGCAACAGCAGAGGTCAGTAAGCTGTCCCGCACGGATCAGAGGCAGAGCCACGGACTGCACTAGCAAGGCCATATTGTTTACCATTGCACGTGTGGGTTTTTTGGAAAAAAAAAAAAAAAAGCTAGGCCGCACATCATAGTACATATCGATAATCCCAGTGCTCAGGAACCTAAGGCAGGAGTACTGCTCCCATTTGAGGCCAGCCTGGGCTAACAGTAAGTTCAAGGTAAGCCTGAACTACATGGTGCGACCCTGTCTCAAAATAAATAAATAAATTTTAAAAAGCCAGTTTCACTTGAGAAGGCCCATGATGAAGCAGTAAAAGCTACTGGTTCTATTAACTGTTCACCCTTAAGTACCCTTTTCAATAATCTGTGTGAAGAAATCAAATACACATTTCTGCTGCATCACGTAGTAGTGATGATTACGGAGGCTAACTGAACCATAGCTTCCTCATGGACATCATTTTTTTAAATCCTTTATTTATTTATTTGGGATGGGGTCTCACTACACAGCTCAGACTCATAGTGATCCTCCTGACTCAGCCTCCCTCATGCTGGAGTCACAGGCATGTGCCACCACGCCTGGTTTCGGTAGCCGACAACAGTATGCCCAGGGTTTTGGATCTGGCACGGCATGCGGTACCAAGGATCAAACTCGGGCCTGCTGCTTGCCAGACAGGTGCCTAGAACGCTGAGCTGTCTCCCAGCCCATGGGCACCATTTCTACCTAAACGACACCTGACAGACAGCTCTGGCCTTTAGCAGATACTTTCTGAATTAGCAATGTGTTGCGCACAGAAAAACCGGCAAACATTATTGATGACGATGAAATTTAAGCTCTTAAGCAAAACCCGGAATTTCATAAAATGTATATCTCCCACCAACATTATAATAGCTTCCCAATACTGCAAAGGCTTTTCTGAGATCCGTGGTGATATTAGTAAGTTTAACTTCTTAGTATTATGTAACAAAATGTCACCATATGGAGGACTGCACAAAACACTATTTTCTAAATGACAGAAACTAGGATAGGCAAAAGATCCAGAGTGCCAGACAAACAGGCTTTAGTAGAACAAAGTACAGAACTCGTCCCTACGGTCAGACTCCACATCAGGCCAGCCTCTGAGAATACCATGTCCTCAGATTGCATCATCCCATAGAATATCCTACATACTATTACTATCTTCTTCTAACTCTGTATCTGTATTGATCCTAACTTTTCATCCTTCCGCCAAAATAAAATGCCACAGTAGGAAAAATGTAGAAACAACTCTGAAAATCCAGCATCTGCCATGTGACCAGAGAGCAGAAATTTGGAGAAAAAAACTCTTGTTATTCTTCTTATTAAGTCTGTTTGAGATAATACAGTCATCTTTCATTGTATTTAGGCTAACATGCAATAATGTATTACCATCAGTTTAAATAAGAAATATCTTTGTTTTAGGTTCTCATTTAAATACATACTCCACACACTAAAAGCTCTCTGAGACCCTAAGGGTTTTGTTTTTTGTTGTTGTTGTTGTTGTTTTCATTTTTTTCAGTGCTGGGAGTTAAACACAGGACCTTGCACATACTAGGCAAGTGCCTTACCACTGAGCCACACCCAGCCCTAACCTAAACATTTTTCCCCCCCAGAATCAGGGATTAAACTCAGACCCTTGCACTTGCCAGGGAAGTGCTTATTCTACTGAGCTGGCCCCTAACCTAAACATTTTAAAAAGAGATTCTAAATCACAAGCCTGAGCTCCACTGCCCTTCCATACACAGCATCCTGGTAAGTCACTCAGGGTTCCTAGGGCCTCTGTCCCTAAACACATCCTAAGCTACAGGACTGGGCTTCAGAGGCAGGGCTGGGATAGGTGACTAGGTCCACTGGTCACTAGCTTTGGTGTCCACTGCAACGCCAACCCATTTCCAAACTCTTGGAAAGTCAGTTTTCTCTTTAGTGAAATGAGCCACACAGCTCTCTTCTCCCAGCTGGGGGGCTGCTCTGAGGCCACAGCCTCTGGCTCCCCTGAACCTTCGTCTGCCTTTCAGGCTAAGAACGTGGTTCTTCTCCTGCCACACCTCTGAACAGAATGTGGAGTTCTCTCTGCCATCTGACCAAAGTACACTGGCTGAGTCCTGATCTTGCCAGAATATTCTATCATTCATCCTTGTACCATGGTGTCATTTCCTGAACTAGCTCCCAGGTTCCATCCCCAGTCCTGATCCATATATGCTGTTTTGTAGGCTAGCTGGGTGATTCAGATGGGCCCTTTACCCATAGATCTTTGATTCTATTACTTAGGATCTTCTGCTCAATTCTTGCATTCTGTTTAAGTATTGTCTCCCCTGTTAGTCAAATCAATGCTTCATATTTTTTTCTTTATCTACAAGCTATCTCCTCCTGCAGAATTACAACAAGCACTTTCTCATGCATTGAATATTCCTGCATACAATTAGCCTTAATCTATCCCTGTAGGGTAACAGGCCCAGGGTATCTATAGCCAGCATCTTGTGGGCTTGTGTAGAGACAGACACATGCTAACAGAGGCAGTGACCCCTGCATGCAAGATCCACATCAAGTGGATGGCCAGCCCAGAGCAATTAGCCATGAAACCCTCAGCTTAAATGAGACTGAGTTGGCCCTGAGATCTGCTCAGTCTTTGGACACATACATACTTGAAAAGAGGTAGGACCAGAAACCCAATGAGCTTCTTAAACCAGGTGTCCTGCAGCACAGGGGTACTGTCCTGCAGCGGTGACGTGTCCTCCCACACCACCTGGATGAACTGGCAGTCTGGCTCCCAGAAGGGTTCTTCAAACTCCAGGAAGATTTTGTTGTTGGTCCCAAAGCCTATTTTCCTGATTGCCTCCACCTTCTCAGCAGGCAGCGGTGGGTCAAAGAAGGTGTCCTGATGTTCTTTGAGAAAACCTAGAATTCAGATTCAGATGTGCGTTAGGCCACATTAGTCTTAATCCATAACAACCACGTCCCATGATTCACTCAGAGGACTGAGAGCAAGAGGCTTCCAAGTACGCCCTGTGGTCATTTAGGAGTGGGCGATGCAGAGACAAGGGAGGCCAGCACAGCTCAAGGGCAACTAACGCCACACTAGAGGGACATGACAGGCCCATTCTCCACCACTGCTCACATAGGGACAGTCAAGTTGACCTGCACAGACTGTTCTGCAGGGACACTTTATTCTCAGCCTCTGCCTCTCCACACCGTAAGTCACATGGCTCAGGATCAGTCTGGAGAAGTGACTGGATGCACAGGCTTCGTTCAGAAGACAGAGAGATATAGACATACACACATCTTTCCTTTGTAGTGCTAATAGAACGTAGGGCCCCAATGTACCAGACAAACACTGCCCGGAGCCACATCTCCAGCACACTAAAAACTTATATAAAGATTACTCTGCATGACAAAAATAAATAATAAATCCAGGAGTGGCAGTGCTTGCCTGTAATCTCAGCACTCAGGAGGCTGAGGCAGGGAACTGCTGTGAGTTCCACACTAGCATGGATTATATATCGAGACCTCATCCCCCCAAAACCGAAAAGTAAATACACAAATAATTTAAGCAAGGTGTGGTAGTACATGACCATAATCCCAGGACTTGAGGCAAGTGGGTCATTTCACCTGGGAAACTTAGAGAAATCCTATCTCAAAATAAAAATTAAAAAAGAGCTGGGGATGTAGGTCAGTGATAGAGCACCATTGGATTGGATCACCAGTATTGCAATAAATTAAGCCCAAAGACAGACAAAAAGATAAAAACAGCAAAGGCAGACAAGGGCATAGGGCATTTGCAATGTGAGATAAAAGCCAATTTTCTGAAGGTACCGGCAAGAGTCAGTAATAAAAGGAAGAAAAACTAACAACAAACAAGCAAACTCATCAAGAGTCAGTAAAACAGGAGACAGGATCGTGGGAACATTCACAGGGTCACTCTGTTCAGAATTGTGACCAACAACTTCCACGACTAGAATCTAACTGGAAGAATAAGCACAATGTAAAATAGGCAAAGTGAGAACCACACACATCGCCTAATAGTTATTAAATCATGACAGCTAGCTAAAAGAAAATGCTATATGGTTTAAGAATAGATAGGGCTTGATACTGCCAGTGAAGCGGAAGACCCAATACTATTATGGACTACTGGACTCTTAGATTATTTTGCTGAATTAAGACACCTATATTCAAATAACGGAACTAAAAATAAAAAGGGATACAGATGAATGTCCATTTTGTATCTTTGTATTCAAAGTGGTTAGGATAGATAGTTACATTCTCTTAATGAATAGAGGGATTTGTTCTAATAATGTTTGTAAATAGGATATCAAGTCCGTATCATGTACAGCAAATAACCAGTAGGAAGAATGTATGCAATGTGTTAATAATTGAAACTGTCCTACCAATTTGGTTTGAAACTGTCTCAGTGCTATTTGTTTCTCAATAAAATTATGGAAAAAAAATTTTTTTTTAAATCCCTAAAAAAAAAAATAGATAGGGCTGGCCAGATAACTCAGCGGACTAAAGTGCCTGCTTAGGCAAGTGCAAGAACAAGGATTCAATCCCCTGCACCACACGCTGGGCCGGCCTCACCCCGGGGGCCCTGAGACTGGGCATGGTGGTATGTGCCTATAATCCCAGCACTTGGGAGGATGAAAACAGGCAGATCACTACAAGTCTGAACTGTGAGACCCTATAGACCCTGAACTAAATACTTAAGAATCAATCAAGCAAGCAAGCTAGCCAGCTAGCTAGCTAGAAGCCCAGAGCTGCGCCTTGCGAATGCATCAACACAGGAGTCATAACTAATCCCACCTCCTCACCACTTGATAGGCTCAGTGAACACAAACTGAATATACAAGTGAACAAAGCCACTTCTGTGCTCACCAGTAAGACCATGTGCTGACGTGGAGACACTGACAGAAAACAAGGCAGCTGGCAGAAAACAAAAACAGCACTGGCAGCTGGGAGAAAACAAAAGGTGCCACACACCTAGCATCTCAGTTTTTGGGAGGCTGAGGATCAATATTTAAACCTAGCCTGGGTGGGCAACTTTGTGAGACCTGTCTCAAAAAGCAAAAAATAAAAAGGGCTGGGAATGTAGCTCAGTGTGAAAGGCACGGGTTCAACTCCCAATACTGGGAAAGAGAAAAAAAAAAAAAAAAACAAGGCAGACAGGAGCTACGTCTGGCAGTGTGATCTGTCTGTACAAACAGCACTGCAGTGGTTACTACAAGGATAGGAACTGAAACCCTGAGCAGAAAAATGAGCACTACCCAAGGGCACAGTGACGATGACATGATGGGCTGGGACGCGGCCACCATCATCACACTCCACCAGCACAGGGAAGGTCTCTCCGGGAAACGCAGCCTCCTGGAAGGCCCCATTCCAGTGAACAGTCTTCACAGGCTTGTTAAAAATCACCACGTCCTTCGGCAAGGAGGCCATTATGTGGTCTATGAGTCCCTGGTAGCCCCTAGAAGAGACAGCAATTGAGGATGTTTAGAGAGGCAATCCCTGGAAAGGTATGACAGGTAAAATCCACCCTCCAAATTCCCACCTGCATCAAAGGAAGCACCATTCAGGACCAGGGCACAAGGCTCCGGGAGGGGTGCACTATCATTTTTCCCCTTAAACCACAGGAATGTTAATACCCTCCTCCCAGCTAATGAGAGGATTAAGTGAGCTAATGAAGCAAAGCTGCCAAAATACTCATGCAAGAGTCGGGGTTCCCTCCTTACCCACCATAGTTCTGATTCTGGGGATTTCTGCATCACAAATACCCAGCCTGGGATAGGAGCCTGAAGGCTGACAGCCAGGAGAGTCCAATAGGACAGCCCTGTAGGATCTTGCTTATGCAGCTCCCCACCGCAAGGAAGGGGCCTCTGTCTGAAACCCCTCACCTAACACTTGACACATCCAAGGCCTCAGGAAATACAGAAAGAAGAAGTCCAAGAAAACTTTCCTTCCCCAGTCATGTCCTTAAAAATAACTTCTTTTTGCTTACATGAGCAAATTAGGAAAAGAACAACCAATTTCTCCAAATGAGAAGTGTAAACACTTCCTGTCTCACACACACACACACACACACACACACACACACACACACACGCGCGCGCCTCCCATAGCCAGAGGATAGAGCTGGCCAACCCCTTGGCCTTAGTATATTGCAGGGTCTAGGGCAGACAGGGCCTGGTCTCATACCCAGAGAAAGTACAGTCCAGTCCTGGCAGCACGGTGTACTCCCCAAAGGGGGCAAGAGCCACCAGATCCATGCTGTGGGTGCCACTTATGCAGCACTCCACATTGAAGAAGTGGTTCAGGATGGCCAGCTTGAGCTTCTTGGTCTCCTCGTCCTCTGTCCAGCGGGCTACCTGCTGGCTGATCTCCTTCTTGAGGTACTCTCCGACGCTGGGCACTGGAGTCTCAGCCACATGCAGGAACTCTCGGGTCTGGTCGATCAGCCCATAGAACAGACTGGCCATCTCTGCCACCAGCTCAAGGCTAACCCTTGTCCCAGAGCTGGCACAGCACATGGAGGGCAGGTCTAAGTGGCCGCCTGTATCCACCAACTGGTTCTCTTCTGACAACTCCTTCTCTCCCAGCAGCCCAAATGCAGCAGCCAGCTGGAAGACAGGGTTGCCCTGGGAAGGCCCGTGGATCCAGTGTGCACCCATCTCCACCACACCACCTGGGGAGGCAAAGAGACGCCACCTGGAGGCCTTGGTGGCCTCTTCCCAGAGGTCAGGCCCACACCGTCCTTCCCTCCACAATGTGTTCTGGAGACCAGCTAGAAGGCTCTAACAGCCCCAAGGGGCACCAGACACTGTCCCTGAGAACCACGTGGCTCCCAAAAGCAGGGTCCCGGACCTGCTTAAGCACCTGGAGGGAGGATTCTTGTAGGAACAGTTTAGGGATAAGAGGGGGTACCTAAGGGTCCCCAGGTCTTTGGGGGAAGGAGGCACTATTCAGAGGCCTTGGCTCCTTCTACTACAGGCACCCAACTAAATTGGAGCTGCTGAGTTTTGGGGTCCAGTAAGTATGGGCTACGTGAGGCCGGGCCTTCACTTGGCAGTCATAGCCTATCTTGGCCAGGAAGGTGTCTAGTGGGCTAGCTTTCGTCTTCCCAGAGTCATTCGTCCCATCGCTCTGTAGCAGGGGCCGGGACACACTGGGAATCCTTCCATGGTACCCCTGGTGAGCCTGGTAAAACTTCAGGGCAAGGGCCCTGCGGAGCTTGGGCGCAGCTGGATGGATTTAAGGGGTCGGGAGGGTTACCAAAGCTGCGCTCGGAGCGGATGCGGCCCCCCGCTCGGGCCGTGGCCTCCAGGACGTGCAGGTGCCGGTCAGCAGAGTGATAACTGCACAGCCTCTGCGCGGCACCCAGCCCCGCGATGCCGCCGCCCACCACCAGCACCCGCCGGCTGCCTGGGATCGCTCGGCCGCCGCCGCCGCCGCCGCCTGACGCCATGGCGTGTTCCGAGTCTTGCCGCTACCCTGCCCGCGGTGGAGGCGGGGCGGGGCGGGGCGGGGCGGGGACTGGGGCGGGGCGAGGAGAGGGAGGGCGGTTGGCGTGTCCAGGGAGAGGGGTGGGAAGGGCGGAAGCCGAGAGAGCCAGGGAGACTGGCGGAGAGACCTGGTGCGGCAGGTCGGGTTGATGAGGCAGGGCCTGGGTATACTGTCTCAGGCCCGCGCTGCCCTCCTCCCCGTCTACCTCTCGGCAAGGGATCCCTGGAGAGGTCCTGTGGCGGGCTCGGGCAGCGCACCTGCGCAAGTCCGTAGGTGCCCAGTAGGCAGAGCGGCGGCGGCCTGCAGGAGGGTTCCCTGTGTGGCCTGGCCCGGCTGCAGGCTGATGGGGGCGAATGACCCTGGGAGGAACTAGCCAACTAGACATGCTTCCAGATAACCATGACTGCCATCATCCTGGGCCCCTCAGGCCGGCGGAGCAGCTTAAAAAACCCAATATTAATAAGACGCTAAATTACATAAAAATTGATATACTATCAGAGGGATCGGACCCTCAAGTCAGCACAGAAAATAAAGACATCTAAATCATAACTGGAGGTGCAAATGGAGACACAGTAGCCAGGCTTGCATGCCTCCCTGAGGGAGAAACAATGCGAGATTATACCACAGTTACCACCACGTGGTCCAGTAGGTCCAGGAAGGCATCAGATGCCCAGTGACCAGAGCGTCTGGACCCATCCCTTCTGAGGTGGACTGACAACTGGTGGTGAACTTGTCATGTGATGGCCTAAACCCAGACTTTTAGCATAGGTATTGCCACGGTAAACTTTAGCTGACCCCAGGGTAATAAAAACCAGCCCACTTGTGAAAGAAGTAACCACATGGAGGAAATACACCCTGAGAAAGCACTGACCCTAACCAAACAAACTATATATATTTTATTCTAACTGACAGGCAGGATATCTGCTGATCTAGCTGTTTGGCTAACAGGATTCTCTTTGTGTTTTTTTCTCCCTCTCCCCTCTATATATAACTTCATGACCTCTGGGCAGGACTACTCAGTTAGACTCTGAAACAGGTCTATGTGGATGGTCGCTGAGCTCAGCTAATAACAATCTTCAAATTTTATTGGCTACTTGGATTCCTATATTGATTATGAACCCACATCAGTAACAGCCAGCTGAACTGAACCAGCACGGTGCTGGGTGTAGGAGCCCCACCTGAGGACAACAAAACGAAAAGGAGGACTAGAAAAGAAGTGTGCTGCTAGAGAACTTTTTGATCTCCTAGAACTATTGCTTCTCCTGGAGGAGCGTGTCATGCTGGCTTTCCGGATGAACTCGGCTCTTCTCATAGATGGAAGAGGGCCTTGCTGTCGCTGGGAACTGCTGCAGTTCACTTTGTGGGGAGCTCTACTCTGAGTATCGCTTCCTGGCTCCAGAGGGGAACATGGTACACTGTTCTGTGTCCTGGAGAAGCGTGTCACACTGGCTTTCCTGATCAAGGAGCTCAGATCTTGTCACTAAGGATGGCTGTGGTACTTTTAGGGGAGCTCTGGTCTTTACTTTGGCACTTCCCGGCTCCAGTGTGAATCCCTCAGCCTGCTAGCACACATCCTTTATCCAGCTGGCACAGACTTTCTAGCTTGCACGACTGACCTTTACTAACCAGAAATTTTCCTAGCCTGTCTCATCCTACTTCAAGACTGAGAGAACTCCAAGATGAGAGAAAAAAGTTTGTGGTTTTGTTTTTTTTTTGTGGAACCGGGGATTGAACTCATACCCTTGTGCTCTCCCCGGCCCATAAAGGCAGACCTGAGACTCAAACCTATGACCTCTTGCTGTAGCGCCTAATCCATAAACCGCTATGCTATCTCTCCAGCTAGAAGAAAGTTTTTGAGGGTCTTACTATGTAGTTCCACCTAACCTTGAACTCTATGCAGCACAGGCTGCTCTCGAACTCACAGTAATCCTTCTGCCTCAGCCTCCCAAGTGCTGAGAATATAGGCACATGTCACCATACCCAGCAGAGAGGAATAAGTGTTCAAGATTTGCAGGAACATCCAATTTCCAACTATTATGGTTCGTGTCTAGATGTTCCCCCAAAGCCTCATGTAGTCATGGGGGGATTCTAGAGTTTGTGATTGATTCTTGGTCCAATGCTGGAATTATGGGCCCGAGTGCTACACCCCCCCTGGGGCAGGTACCCTGCATACAGTATAAGGGAGGGAGAGAGGCTTGCTCTCTTGCTCCTTCCTTTTTGTTCTGGCTTTTGCTTTCTTCCTCCACCACGAAGAGTTGCTCCTCTGCCACACCACCTGCCTTGGAGCCAGCTGATTGTGGACTGAAACCTGCACAAACTGTGAGCTAAATAAACCTCTCCTTCCCTCATTTTAAGCCTTGACTATTTTGCCTCAGCAATGAGAGAAAAGTAACCAAGACACCAGCTTTTACAAAATCCAATTCTGATCCTTTACAGTGATGCCAAGAAGTCTCATCATTGTCCTTAACCTGCAGCCCCTTCACATTCTGGGAAAAGTGAAGCCCTGAAGACCACCCATGATGAAGTCAGACCCCAAGTGGAAGCACTTATCCTATGACTAACCTCTGGCTGCCCACCCCACCCCCAACAAGCAATAACTGTTACCTCCCCAGGAGCTGAATTGCTCTCTCAAGTGATGGCCGTGCTCTGATAAGCTGGAAGCAGAACCAGTCTGGAGACAATGATCAATCAGAATTGACTGATCATGATTGACTAGGATTACCTACGCTGCCAGGTGTGCAACCCCCTCCGCTATGCTGACCCCCAGCCTTGCTTTTGCTCCTCCTTTCTATAGAACTCCAAGATTTTTTTCTGCCTCTCAGAGACAGATCCTGAGCCTCTTTATCAAACCTTCTCAAACAGCCACATTGATTAAACTTTCATTCCTTCGCTTCCCCACTGCCTGTCTCCCTGACTGGCATTTTCGGGCAAGTAGATGAACCTGATCTGTTGGGATGCCCACAGCAGGTGCTTTTGCCCTAAAATTCTGGTAACATGCATACTTTGTTTGATTGTTTTGTGGGTTTTCTTCCCGCAGTACTAGAACTAGGGAGTGCTGAGCTACATATCCCACACCTATTTATTTAATCGATTGATTGATTTTGAGACAAGTTCTCACTAACTTGCTTAGGCTGACCTCAAACTTGGAATCCTCTTGCTCCACCTATTGAGTAGCTGGGATTACAGGCATGTGCCACCACACTGGGCTATACATGCATGTACTTGTGTGCATGTACACACAGTATGTACAGACATGTCTTAGTTTAGGTGGGGTTACCTCTAGAGAACCCAATCATAAGTTGAAAGCCCAAAATGCACTTAATGCTGTAACACAGGAACAGCACAGTTTATAGCACTATATGCTGCGGCATGTAAGGTATCTACTCTCCTGATTCTGGCTGACTGAAAGCTATGGTTTTGCAAAAGTGATATATGCCTAGCCTGGGAAAAGATCAAAATTTAAAATACTGTTTACATTGAATGTATCTTTTTTTTAAATTTTTTATTTATTTATGTATGTGTGTGTGTGTGTGTGTGTGTGTGTGTGTGGCCAGCTCAGCCCACCAGGGGGCAGGGCTGGCTGGCATGTGGTGCTGGGGGATCGAACTGCGGTCCCTGTGCTTTGCTAAGCTTGTTCTAAGTAGGTGCTTTAGACCACTGAGCCATCTCACCAGCCCCTGAATGTATCATTTTAGCACCATTATAAAGCCCAAAATTGGTAAATTGAACTGTGTAGACTGGCAACTTCTCTCAGTTATGTCTGCATATACACAGCACTGGGATGCAGGTGAAGTACAAAGTTTGAGATCAACAAAGGAGCTGGGCACGGTGGCCTGTCTGTGTAATCCCAGCACTTGGGAGAATGAGGCAGGAGGACCACCATGAGTTCAAGGCCAGCCTGAACTACATAGGGAGACTGTGTTTCAAAAACAAACAAACAAGAGCAACAAAGCGCAGGTGGAGAAATGTCTCTCACATCCCCCTCCGCCCCTCCTGGGTTTCTCCCCCAGGAAATTGAGTGTGTACGCACATGGGCGTTCAAATCTGCAGATCCTCTAATTCAGGTGGGCGTTTGTGTTCTCACTGCACTGCAGTCCAGATTAGAGGCCATGGGCTCTTCTGTACACTTTGGTAGGGCACAGCACTCCCCGTTGGCCACACAGAGCCATCAGATGATCTTCTGTGAGCCTTCAGGTAGCCTCCAGGGTGGAGAACCTTGGGCCTCTGAGGAAACACACACTACCAGTCCCAGGACCTCTTATAGTTCTCCCCACAGGGACTGACAAAGTACTAGGCCACTGCAGGTATGTCCCCCACTTTGCCAACATGGGAGTCTGGGCAGTATCACTCCTGGCCAAGCCATTCCATCTCAGACCCATCCCATGCTCGGGTAGGAACTCTGATGACCACAAGAACTGTCTTAGTAGTGTTTTCAGTGACTAGCAGAGTCGCATGAGCCACAGCCAGCGGTTTCTCTATCAATAGCGTTCCCTTTCCACAGTCACAAACAGACCCTATCAATCGTCCCAACCATTCCGAGCTCTGCCATAAGGCCCACCCCAAAGCACCCACAGACACAGGCACCCTATGTTGCAGCTCACACAGCCAGCCCAGTATGGACCCCTCCAGGCGCACCTGCTGTAAAGTTGGAGCTCTCATTCACTGATGACAGGAGCATGAAATGATACAGTCACAGACACTCCACCCTCATGGCTTTTTTTTTTCATTAAGGATCAAGCTCTCCTACTACTTAGCTACATACTCAGTCACATGTGCAGCCACTTTGGGAGACAGCATGGCGTTTCCTCAAAAGGTTAAGCAATAAACCCACTTGCAGGTTTATACCCAACAAAACAAAAACATACCACCACCTAGGCACTGGTATATGTAAACTCACAGTGGGTCTACCTAGAAGAGCCAAAACTTCTGCACATCCTATTAGTACTACTGTCTATTATAGCCAGCTTAGTAGGAAGGAAATGATTTTGATTTGCAATTAATGTTGTTGGACATCTTTTCACATGCTTCTCAGACAGATCTCTGTTCAATCCATTGCCTCTTTTTAGTTGGGTTATTTTTTATTACTAGCTTGTAAAAGTTCTTATATATTCTAGATAGAAGACCTTTATCAGATACAAGCATCTCATCTTTTACTATCTTGAAACACAGTAAGGTTTTTTTCTTAACTTTATTGAGAAACAAATAGCAATGAGACAGTTTCAAATAAGTTATTTTTTTTTAATTTTGGTGAAGCTTAGTTTATATCCATCTCCTTTTTGTCACTTGCGATTTCCTTGCAGAGGACAGTAGCTACCAGTCCTCAACATCAGTGTTGTTTAAAAAAAAAAAAACAAAACAAAAACAAAAACAAAAACAAACCCTCTTTAATGTTTGAGCCATTTCACTTAGGGTCTGTCACAGCAGCTCAGCATATAGTAATACAGAGGTTCTTTTATTGACAGTTTGTTGGTGATCTTCATTTATATGAAAATTGTTTACTTCAGTCTTGAAATAGTTTGCTGAGTGTACAATTAATGGTTTTAATTGAATTCTTTTCTTGGCAGCATGAATTTTGTTTTCATTTATAGGTTTGCTTTTTTTTTTTTCTTTTCACCCTAACATTTTCAAGATCTGGTCAAGAATACAAATGGAGGTTGATAGTATTTGTGTATTGAGGGCTGGGGAGACAGCTCAGTGGAATAAGTGCTTGCCCGGCAAGCATACGGTCCTGAGTTCGATCTCTGGTACCAACAAAACAAACAGACAATACTTGTGTATTTAAAAGACATAGTTGAAAATAGTTTAAATAAATCGGCTTTCATATTTAGATAAAGCTTACCTATATCTCCACACAAACCCTATTCCTACTCTGATGTTCAGACGCTATGTAGCTCCTCTGTAAACAATCAGTCTCGCGCTCCTTGCATGCAGTGTAAGTGCACGGCAGAGCGGCAGCAATACTTTGACTCAGCAGGGCCTCGTCGTTACCTGGTGGCACCGCAGAGCGGCTAGCCAAGGCCACAGGGCAGCAGGCGGCTCAGGGCCTGGGATACATAAAGGAGGATGCCGCTGAGGGAACCCTGCAGAGGCTCGCTACGAAAGGCCATGGGCTCCTCTGACGCCTTGGCAGGGCAGAGGTCCATCACCACCCCACCTGCCCTGTCTGGCCCGCACCCCACCGCCTGACCCCAGGTTTGCGGGCGCTGTTTTTTCCGACCCCAGCGCCCCAATTCACCTCGCTGTCCGCACCAGGGCTTCGGTCACTGCACCCACGCTGCCAGCGCTCCGCCCCTCTGAACCAGGGCCAACCGGGTCCCGCTAGGCTCGCCCCGCCCCGCCCCTCCACGCCCCCGCCCCGCCCCGCCCCATCCGCTTCCGGACTGGTCTGGCGACACGAATCTGCTGCACGGCTCTGAGTCCAGCTAGTCTTCTCTGGGGCCATGGCAGCCCTTCGCGCCCTGTTGACCAGCGTCCGGCGCCCACTACGGTCTCTGTCCCACTTCCCCGCCCCGCGGCCGTTCGCGTCGGGTGAGTGTAGGCCCTCACCCGAGGTCCATCACCGCCCCACCTGCCCTGTCTGGCCCGCACCCCACCGCCTGACCCCAGATCCCGGTCTGCACCCCCCACGTGATCCTGGAGACCCTCACCCCCTGACCGCGGACCCTCTGACTTCAAGCCCCTGCACCTTCTAGCCCCAGCCCACCCCACTCTTAATACCTGACCCAGCCCCCTCCTGTCCCTGGCGCCTGCGGAAGGCTCTGCCCAAGAGAGCGCCCTGCTAGGTCACTAACAGCGCCAAGACCTCGGGCCAGCAGGGCACGTGGATGTTGGTTGTGAAATTCCACCAGTGTTTAATAGGTAGCTTTAAGAAAACATGTAGTTCCTGCGTTGCAAGTCAGCCTGGGAACTGGAAAGTTGGGCTCCTCTTGTCTCTACTGCCTCCTGTCCGGTTTTACCCTCTGTCCGCGGCTTCTCCGAAGCCTGACCTTCAGATTCTCCAGTCAGAAATTTCCGAACCTATGCTGCCTTCCTTCCACTGCCAATGGGCTTGTCCACACCTCTTGGCTTACCTTAACCTGGGCTCCCTCGTGCTATTCTCCACTCGAGTATTTCAAGGAATTCGTGGCCGTATTCCAGGACTGGGGCTCCTCTTCTTAACTACCTGTTAATATTGGCTTCACCCTCTGTCCTGGACTGCCCACTCCTGCACCCTACTTGGAAGTGGCGGTCATTTTCCAGCTCCAGTAGGGGCAGGCATCCTGCTGTTCAACACTTCACATGTGATGTTTCAGTTGCTCACCTGCAAGCCAGGAGGCTGACACTACAGTGTCGGTACTCCTGCAAAGCAAACTAACCACCCAACACACTCACTTTGTTACGCTCACCCCCCGGCCTGAGCTGTGGCCCCTCTGGGTCACAGTGGTCACCAAGAACAAAGTGGTCCTTTCTCTTTGCCTTCCTCCCACCGTGCTGCCCACCCAGCATAGCCGAGAACTTAGTCCTACTCTTCAAGGGCGTTTGTTGCAGAAGGCCTTTCCCTGTCCTTAGTGCTGGGTTCTGAGAATAACTGACCAAGGCAAGTGGGAAGGAGAGTGGCTGTGTTCTGTGCTGGGTTCTCCTGTAACTTAAGCTTTCATGCAGAGAGTGGTTGTGAAGAGAGTTGTAGGCAGAAGTGGTGAGGACTGGTCCTGGCCCCTCACTGGACCTCGTAGGGTCTGCGTTTGTGTGTGTGACACCTGCTGATGGCAACCCCTTTTTGCCCACTTCCTTTAGGTGCCAACTTTGAGTACATCATCACAGAAAAAAAGGGGAAGAATAGCAATGTGGGGCTGATCCAGTTGAACCGCCCGAAGGCACTCAATGCACTCTGTAGTGGCCTGATCACAGAGCTCAACCAGGCCCTGGAGGCCTTTGAAGCGGACCCAGCCGTGGGTGCTATCGTGCTTACCGGAGGGGATAAGGCATTCGCAGGTGTGCTGGGCAGCAGTGGTGGCAGGTGTGGGAGGGATAGCATTGCCTGGGAGAGGCAGCAAGGCTGACCAGCCCCTCCACGATGATGTGGGACTTGGGATTTAATCATGTGTAAAGTGATGAACATGTTCCAAGGGAATCTAGTCCATGCTGGTCAGGCTACGTGGCTGACATAAATAAGCTGGGCCTTCTTTGGCACCTGTTACCTGTACCTCGGCCCTCTACATTATCTTGCCATAACAGGTATTCCAGTGTGTTACTGGCCTTGTGGAGGGCTTGCCTGTGGCGCATGGTCCCTAAGTTAGCTCTGCCTATGGATTAGGGCTGTGGGATCTGTGTGCTGTCTGGTACCTGGAATCTCGTGTCCGTTCCCAGCTGGAGCTGATATCAAGGAAATGCAGAACCAGACAATGCAGGACTGTTACTCCCACAAGTTCCTGAGTCACTGGGACCAGCTGACCCAGGTCAAGAAGCCAGTCATCGCTGCTGTCAATGGCTACGCTGTGAGTGTCAACTTCAGGGGTCCCTGTCTGCAGGGCTGAGGCACGGGAGATGTTTGAGGGAATTGGACTCATGTGAATGAAGTGTACAGAGAGAGATCTTTTTTACTGGCAAGGTGTCAAGTGTGCTTCCCAGGCCAGTGGTCCCCTCTCTGCCAAGTAAGAAGAAAGAAACTTTGACAGCATCTTTGTTTGGTGCTGAGCTGCTAGTTCTCCCCAGATGGGTTAATGGATATTTCTATATTGATTTAATGTTCCCTGACTACTCTGCAAACATAGCATATCCTGCTGGAGAGTTCACCGTCCTTGCATAATTGGACTATTTGGAAATGTCAGGACTGGTTTGGCCTGTGGAAAAGTTATGCTGTTGTTCCACATGGTCTTGGTTTTGTTGTTGTTTTAGACCTGAGAATCAAACTCAGGACCTTGAGCTTGCCAGGCAGGCACTGTGCCACTGAGCTATATCCCTAGCCACCAGGGTTTTTTTTTTTAACCAAAAAGACTTTTTGTGGTGGTGGTGGTGGTGGTGGTGTTACTGTTATTATTGTTATTGTTTTATGATACTGCAGATTGAACCCAGGGCCTTTTCCCTGAGCTCCAGCCTTTTATGTTTTTTGAGACAGGATTTTACTAAATGGCCAAGACCATGCCTAACCTCCCAAAGTGCTGGGGTTATGGGCATGCGCTTCCATGCCTGGCGCATGTGGCAGTTATTTAATGAAGCCCCACGCATGTGAGCCAGAGGTCAGCCACACCCATTCAGGTCCACATCCCCTGTGGCTGTTGTTGAGCAATACAGCAGAGCTTGGCGTTCCTGCAAAGCCAACTTGTTTAGTGTCTGGCCTCTTGCAGAAAAGTCTGTTGCCCCTGGTGAACAGAAGCAATCATATATAATTCATGCGTTCCAGCACTTACCTAAGTATGTGCCTCTAGATTAATTTGTGCCCCAACTCTGATTAACTTTACTGGAAAAATCCAATAAGCAGACAGCAGTTGTTCTGAGTAGGCTTCTCTAGTAAAGTTTGTTTGCTGCTCAACATTGTTTTACAGCTTGGTGGGGGTTGTGAACTTGCCATGATGTGCGACATCATCTACGCTGGTGAGAAAGCCCAATTCGGACAGCCAGAAATCCTGCTGGGGACCATTCCAGGTAAGGACATGGCACCTGGGTGTGCACTCTGCAGGTGATTCTGAAGACCAGCCTGTGCCTCAGGACCCATCGCCTGCAGTTGACCAGAGGCCTGGAGGTGTCCCCTTGTGTCTGGCCAGTGCTCCCTCTGTAAACAGGCACATGGGACAGTGGATGTGATAGAGCTCAGATCAAGCAAGAACCTGGGGGCAGCAGGCCATGTTGGACTCGTGTTTGCAGCTGGATCCCATGTGTGATGTCACATGGTGATAACGTTAGTTTACAACTACAGTGGCTCTTTCCTGCTGTTGACCTGTGCTTATGGCAGATCCCTGTAGGTCAGCAGTTTAGGACAAAAAACAATGACCTTGGATTAGCTCCAAGACCTCTGCCTCACATCACTTTAGCCCCGTCCACTCCACATCACTGGGGTTAGGACCTCCTGGGAGGGAGCCTGAGGACTGGGGAAGGAGCAATGCTATGGATTTGTTGGGTCTCGTA